CCCTCATAACATGGACAGAACTTCAAATGTTGTCTATACAACACAAAGCTCCTTGTGATTATTAGTTGAGATTTGCAAGCTATATAATGCCTATACTTCAGTTTTATTCATGCATCAACTAAAACCACATAGACTAAAAGCTCAATCTTGAAATTACACAAAAAAACCTAAACTGTGATTAGTTCACTTTCCCTTGAACAGTAAATAACCCTTAAGCTTTTAAAATAGGCTTGTCACAATAATCAATATATTGACTAATTGTACAATACTTGGACATGACCTCAATCATTTTTGGTTTTGCAATAAATATTTACAAATTCACAAATATTAAAGCCATTTTACTATTACATTTACATTCTACCTCCCCAGTGTCGAGGTTTATATTTGGACATTTAAAAGTGTGTATACAGTATATTAACATTTTAACATCAACCTTTTTAACATACTCTAACATCAAATTACACAATCTAAATGACCTTAATAATGGAAAGCCTTTGTGTCTTGAGTGTTTATGGCTATTTACATTATGCTTTAGTATTATAATTATATAATCAGTGGCATGATCTCAATACTACCGCTTATTGCAACAATTTCTGTGACAAAATAGCATCACAAAAATTCTTTATTGCAAATACTCCATTAGAGACTTTATTTTATAAAATGTGGAAACCTGCGAGTTCTTTTGTCAAGATCTTACCTTCTTTGTAGATGCAACCCCCATCCCCACCCACCTTTTTTTTTTCCTTCTTTTACTTTTAGTTTTTTTTTTTTTATTAATTCATTTATTTAAATATTTATTTATTTGTTTTTATTGTATTTTTGATTTGGGTAAGGGATAAGGGTAATGTTTAGGTTGTTTACGTAACTGTATTTCATTATTACTCTGTTTAAAACCAGCAGATACTATTCAGTTTGCATGTCATGTATTTACCATAATTCAAGATCCGTTGATCCGTTGCCATAAAATTAAGTAAATGTATATTCAATTTACATAAGAGTTCAAAGTTACAATTGCTTTACTCACTTTTTAAAGTAAAGTCAACTTGCTGCTTTTAAGCCAATTGTTTACCATATTTTAAGTAGGAGAGAGCGGGAAAGAAAATACCATTTTCATTTAAAAGATAACCTTTTAGACAGAAATATATTTTTGCTCTGGTTACTAACTCATAAGTGTGGTCTATCAATATCGGGTGCTATTTTGAAAAAATGTAGAACAACTTCAAAATAATTCCAATTTAAACAAATTGTGCATTGTTACTTTTGACCCCGTCAGCATGGTTGAAAAAACACATGGGAGGGTCAAAATTAACACAATATTTTCTAGATATTCTAGCTTGATCTTGTTTATTTTAAATACATCTGACTATGACCTTGTAAAGGTTCACTACAAACATATTTTGTCCTTTATTTTTGCAAAAAATAAAAAATTAATTGAACTGCATTTTCATTGTAAATTTCACTTTCATCAAATGTTTCAAAAGCAATCCAACAATGCGATGTGTTAAAATTTTCTAGATTTTTTCAATATTATTTTTTATTATTGAAAATTAAATATAATATAAAACAAATGAGTCCAAACCCTGAAAACTCGTAACGTGGTAGTGAAAAATAAGGTTTGTCTATTAGCAGTAGGACATAAATAACAATGTTACTTTCGTCCCCACAGGAACCATTTAAACCTGATTTACTTTTAAACTGAAAAACTCAGAGATTGCAAACTTAAGGATGTGTTATTGCACTAAATAACCTGTAGATTGATCATTCCAGTGATACATGAAAAGAGAAACACAACTTGTAGTAAGAAAAAAAGAACCGCTACAATAATTTACTTTTTGCACTTAATACTGAAATTCAGACCTAACCACGGGACACGGTCCTGCAATCAGCTGATATTTGGCAGATCCATCAAGGATTGCATGCTGTATGTGCTGTTATAGCCTGGAAAGCAAATGTTGTCATGGCTTTAAAAAAAATTGCTTTGTTACTTTCGTCCCACGTTAATTGCGTCCCCGCTCTCCCCTAACTAATTGCTTTTTACAGTGAAAACTTTCAGTACAAATATCAGAACTCAATAATACTATATCATTAACAATTGCACAATTCTAATCACATCCATGACTGATAATGACCGAAGCATGTTAAGGATTGCTTTTACTGCATATAAATCATTTAAACATACACATTTAGATTGTTTCACTTAACATGGATTACAAATACTCACACATCAATGATTCGTTTAACTTTCAGTTAAAAACAAAACAAAGCGGCAGAGAAACAACAACTTGGGAGAGAAGCGCAATTAAATGAATGTGGGCCACTTCAATAACAAACTTTCTCATAAACATGTCACAAACACTGAAAGAAATTGCAAAACACTTAAGACGAGTAAAAGGAACACCACAGCATATTAACTTTTTGTCATTATTACACTTTATTGTTTCTTTGCAACATTTGCCATGACCCTTTGTCATATCTGGCGAGAATTCCGTAATGCTTTAATGTAACCTGAGATTCAAAAAACGACTCCCATGTGGAGTGCTTCAATTAACTCCGACATTGGTTTGACAACGCGTGAACTGCTATTTTAATAGTTTTGAATAGTTATAAACGGTACTAACATAACAAAAGCTCTTAACAGTACAAGAACAGGTGTTGTGCTGGGTGAAGCCGATGAATCTCTTCCCCTACTTTAAAAACAGTGAAAACCGATTCGAGACAGACTAAAATCAAGTCTTTTTTTTTTTAGTGGGCAAAATGGAGAGTGGATAACACAGGATGAAAAATAAACGTTTTAACACTGACCCAAGGCACATCTGCATGGTACGACATGCTTTGATTTCTGTTTGAAAATCTGCTTTGAGGCTTTCAAACCTTGGTGAGGTTGAAAAGGAGCATTTCTGTTTTCCTTCTGATAGTTACACAAGAAAAAAGAAAAAAAGGACTTGCTGCATTGTGCTCTTTGGGAGGCTTGGAGTTGATGGAATAAAAAGGTAACGCTTATGCCTTTCAGAAAAAAAATCGTTCCTTTACACGGGTGTGCATCACTATTAGGTAAATATGGCTGCTAACTTGCGTGAAATACAAATAACCAAAACAAAATACAATTAAATAATCCCCTTACTATCTAAGGTTGATGGGGCAAGCTGTCTATGGAGGACAAAACCTGCAAAAAACAATATATAAATAAATACGCAAAAAAAAAAAAAAATTTATAAATAAATAAATCACAAATTCCTGTGAAAAAATAAAATAATGCAAATAAATATATATAAAATCCACAAAGTTTTGCACAGATAAATATATAAATAATTATTTGGACAGGCAGATAAATAATGAAATTACACGAATGTAGGGGAAATGAGAAAATGCTAAACTGAAATTTGATTTTCTGCCCCATTATAAATGTTTATTCATTTTTGAACATAGTTTCATATTTACTTTTTTCTCAGCTCAACATGCTAATGAGAGGGTGTTTGTCAATCATAGAAGGCAGTTAAAAAAAAATAATAATAATTTGAAGGCAACAGGCAACATGGTGGCTCACAGCAAGAAGGTCGCTGGTTCGAGCCTCGGTTGGGTCAGTTGGCATCTCTGAGTGGAGTTTGCATGTTCTCCCGATGTTGGTGTGTGTTTCCTCCGAGGGCTACTGTTTCCCCCATGGTCCCAAGATATGCGCTAGGTGAATTGATTAAACTAAATTGGCCGTAGTGTATGTGTGAATGAGTGTGTATGGATGTTTCCCAGGACTGGGTTGTAGCCGGAAGGTATCCACTGTGTAAAAAACATATGCTGGATAAGATGGCTGTTCATTCTGCTGGGGCAACCCCTGATGAATAAAGGGACTATGCCGAAGGAAAATGAAATTAAATTTGAAGGCAAAGATTTTCTATAGATCAACCAATGTGGGCATAAATACCGCCTTCTGATGATTGAAAGACACCCTTGTTGTGCTGAAAAAAAGTTAACTCGGAACTACATTCAAAAATCAATAAATGCTAAGGGGGGGTGGGGGGGGGGGTTGGTGGACCTTTAAGTTTAACATATTTTTATTTACCCAACATTTATGCAATTTATCTCACTATTTATCTGCCAGCACTATTCATTCTATACATTTATTTATGCAGGTATTATATATTTTGATATAATACCTGCCTATACCTATAATACCTATATAATAATATAATACCTATAATACCTATAATATATATATATATATATATATATATATATATATATATATATATATATATATATATATATATAATAAATATATAATTTAAATTAAAATATTCTAAAGGAAGCTATACAATATTTTGTTTGTGCATATACATGTGATTAGTCAGTACCATAGTAAATTCTGGTGCTAATCTAACAAAATAACATGATAGCAGTCCAAAATTAGTACACTCACATTTATATTATAGAAAAATATTAAATAACATTTTGAAAAAGAGCAAAATTCAACAGACACAAAAATGTATAAAATTTTGTTGAAATTTTGTAGTTTGTAATTTATTTATCCAATATTTTGCTTGAATTAAATTGTTTTATCTTTCTATTTCTAAATATGTTTGGCGACTAAGATATACTTATTAAATAATATTTATTTAGTAAAAAATTTGTTCTGCTGAAATGCACCAAAATACATCGCCTATGTTCACTGAGAAATGGATCAAAATATTCATTTACAAAATGGGGTGGGGTCATATTTGCTGAGCACTGTATTTGAGTATTTATTTATTTATTCTTATTTCTTTTTTATGCAGGCATTTATGGATTTATTTACTCATTTATTTATTTGCTCATTTATTTATTCAATGTTTGCAAGTTTCGTCCACCATAGCCGTCTGAAAGGGGTCCACCTGAACTGTCCAAAATCAAAACACCTCCTTTAGACTTCAAACACTTCTAAATACTTCCACACATTTGGAGATTACATGTCAAATGCATATTAAAGCTAAATAATAGTAAAGAAATAAAATAAACAGAAGAAAAGATAAGAATCAGAAAAAAGACTTTAATTTGACTACAAGAAAAGATTAGATGAAAGAAAAGCTATTTTTTGGTATATCCAGTACAGTGGAGGGTTAGTGGGTATTGTGTAGCCCTTTAAAAAAAACTACAACAGGACCATCGCAGTAGCTATTACTACAATTCTCAGGGTGTACATGGGCATGTTACAGTCAACTTCCTTTTTTTCCCAAATCATTAAGTGAAACATATGTAGACTTGCGAAAAGAGTGCAATGCCGATGGTTTTATTTCTTTATTTAAACTTTAAGTGTGTCTTGCTTTTCAATTGTACAAGGGCTCATCGAACACCTAAAGTGGGTCGAAAGCGAATTCTGCCTTAAAACCCCCAACTAAACGATCCAAAATATGAAACACAACCAAAAAAATCTGACCTTGCAACACCCCAAAAAAACTGCGGCTGTACTTCAAGCTATAGCATCATCCAAGTTGCCTCTGTAGGAAAAGCTGCAGGAAGAGGAGGTTAGTATCTAACGTTACATCTGAATTGGGGCTATGTTTGAGGATTCCCAGCTGCGACACACTTCGCATGTCCTTCCTATAGAAGAGGCAGGGAAAGGATGTAGGGGAATGGTGGGAAACGATCTTCTAGGAGGCTCCAAGGACAGTTCACCTCAATGAACGATGAGAGCTCCAGCAGCGTAACTCACAGAGCTGTCCGACCAGTTTCGGCACTGGCTCGACTGAGCATAGTTTAGGAAAGAGAAGTTCATGTCTATGCCGTTCTTTTTCAGTTCCGCCACGGCCTGAGAATCAGCAATGAAGAGATGCTTTTAGACCACAGACAATAGTAAATCTTAAAAGCTTGATAATGAAAGACATTAGTTTGGGGGGAGAAATGATGACATTAATAAAAGCTCCGCACCAGTTAAGTGCTTGACTAATTACTACGCTTACGGGCTAGCCATTATTTGCATTATTCTGCTTCTGCTTTATTGAGTCAACAATGGTTTGCTAAATAAAATGTCCCGAGGGAAATTCACAGAGCCGTTCGGATGAATCATTCATGAGGTACTTACATTTAGAAGAACGCCGATGGGATGGCGACCACAAATTGTATTATGATATTTCTTCAAGTAATTGCTAAAGGAGATGGGGTCCAATTGTTCTATAATTCCCATTCCCTAAAAATATCAAAACAAAGAAAACACATTAATGCATATGGTGCCATTTTGGTTTCAAAGGTGATTTATATTAGTGCAAGGCAATGATTAATCGCATCCAAAATAAAGGCTTGTTTTGTCATAACGTCTGTTTATGCATTTTAGATATTTATTATGTATATGTGATCCAAACACATAGTTGAAGTCAGAATTATTAGCCCCCCTGTTTATTTTCCCAATTTCTGTTTAAAAGAGATTTTTTTTTCAACACATTTCATTTTTAAACATTATAGTTTTAATAAATCATTTCTAATAACTGATTTATTTTATCTTTAGCTGAATGACAGTATAGACATAATATTTTACTAGATGTTTTTAAGACACTTTTACACAGCTTAAACCGATATTTAAAGGCTTAACTAGGTTAATTAGGTTATCTAGACAAGTTATTGTATAACAATGGTTTGATATAGACCTAGTAAAAGCTTGATTAATTGGTGTGTTTGATTTGTGTGTAAAAGTGTGTTTGATTAGGGTTGGAGCTAAACTCTCCAGGACCGAGTGTGGACAACCCTGATTTAGATTGGAAAAATTAGCTTAAAGGGGCTAATAATTTTGACCTTAAAATTGTGTTTAAAAAATGAGTAACAGCTTTTATTCTAACCAAAATAAAACAAATAAGAAACAAAAAGAAAAAAAAAATATTATCAGACAGTGTGAAAATTTCACACAAAATTTCTAAACTTTCTCAGTTAAACATCATTTGGGAAATATTTAAGAAAAATAAAATAAATTAAAAATAAATCAAAGGGGGGCCAATAATTCTGACTTCAACTGTACATCAAAACTATACAAGACGTTGAAATATTGTTATTTAATATAATAAAATAAAATTTATAAAAATAAACATTTTCATAAGTGTATTTATATATGTAAGAAATATACATATATACAGCACACACAAATATTATGCCATAAGAACTTTTATTTTGAATGTGACTATTTGTTATTAATATTTACCAAGCACTACTTTATATACCTAAAAGCATATTGAATGCAAGTATCTACATTAATGTCTCAACTTTTTTTTTAAATGTGTCAAAATACGGGTGAAATAATGTTTCATCATCAATCTATCAATCAATAACTAATATATTTATGCAAAATGAAACATTCTTATTCTGACCTGTACTTATGAAAATATAGCAAATAAATATAAGGGATAGTACTAAATTTGATTGTATTTTAAATATTTGATTTAAGGACAAGATTTTTGAATATCATTTAATCCTTATGATAGATTGTAATATCAATCAATCAATCGGCTATATATATATATATATATATATATATATATATATATATATATATATATATATATATATATATATATATATATATATATACTACTTTATTACAACCAGGGGGCTTGCCAAAGTGCTTTACACATTAAAAGACATTTTGAACAAGAGTCTAACAAGAGTCTAACATCTAAACAAGAGTCAAAAAAACAGCATGTTGCACTACTCAATATCAAAAGCAATTCTAAATAAATAGGTTTGAAGTTTTGCTTTAAAGAGCCCATATTATGGGTTTTTGAAAATTCCCCTCCATGTAGTGTGTAACACAGCTCTAAGTGAAGTGAAGTATCCAGCTAAGGCTTAAATCTGTAAGAATACAGTGTTTAAAACTGTTGATTCATCTATAAAAGAGTCGAATCATAGTGCTTCAAACGAGTCGCCTTGATACCGACTCATTAGGTGTTTCGCCATGACGTACGAACGAAACAAAGTTTTTCACGTGCACGCGCAAACCCGGGAGATTTCAAACCTGAGGCCCCGCCCTCTGACGCAGTAACCCAGACACAAACACACGCACACCCACAAACACACGCACACAAACATGCCGGTCGATTGAAGTCACACTGCAGATGGATATATTGAGTCTCTACCCAAAGATGAAACATCAGCATTATAACCAAGCAGTTGGAAACTTCTGGAAGCTACATGCTACAAAGAATACTTCATCTGAGTTTGTTAAAGGAAGGATCAGTAAAGAGTAACTGATGGACGTCAGGATGGGTTTCTTCCTACATTTCTCAAGTGTAAGTACGTGCGGTTAAAGTTGTTGCCTCGTTGACTCTAGCTTGCAAATGTATTTAGTTGTGATTTGTTACTTGTAACCGCGTGTACTGTATCAGGTTAACTGGATATATTATCTTATCGCGTGCAAAGTCACGTTAAAAACGCGACGCGTGCTGTTTGTTTATGGAGCTCCGTGCTAGAGTTCTGCTCCCGCGATTTATTCGGAAATGTATTCCCGCGCCGCAGAAATCTGGCGCGGGGAGAGAGAGAGAGAGAGAGAGAGCGAGAGAGAGAGCGAACGAACGAACGAGCTTTGTGTACTTTGTGCTGTGTGTGTGTTTTTATACAGACAGCTTGGCTGTCTGGACTGTATACTGGGTGATATTTGGTTGTGTTCTCCGCTCTAGCGGGACCGGGCGCGGCGGGCAGAAAACGGAGTGGGTTCTCAGGCTAAAACCTGGCGGGTGCGGGCTGAAGCGGGAGCGTTGTCATCCGGAGGTGTGTGTGTGTTTTTGTGTGTGTGTGGTATGGCGAGTACACGACTGTCTCCTTCGTTCGGTTATCCGTGGCACTATCCACTGGCCATAGTGTGGCAGCTAAAGTCCACGCCTACACTATCGAGCGTGTATGAACTGTGATTACTTTTTAAATTGCTGATTAGCTATTGGCCATTTCCCTCTCTGACTGAAGGCAGTCGACCAATCGCGACAGACTGTCATCGGTCCAATCAGCGCAGATTAGCTCCGCGCTAAGGAGGGGTTTGGGAACAAATGAATCACTGGACGATTCATACAGGAGTCGCTGGGATAATTAGGTAAAAATAAATGCAGATTATAAGACCATGAAAGTGTTTTTTGACCTTGCATGCATATTAGACTGTTGTTGGAGACTCTTACAACCAAGATATGACCTTATTTCATGTATAATATGGGCTCTTTAAATAGTGCCACATTCGTGGTAATGTGAATTTCTATAGGGAGGCTATTCCACAGATTTGGACCTGCCACTGCAAAAGAAACATCACCCCATTGTTTATACCTTGATCTGGGGACCTCAAGCAACAACTGGCCTGCTGATCTGTTAAGGTTTATGAACCTTTAAAATCTCACATAAATATGGAGACACAAGACCATTAACTGCATTAAAAACAAACAACAGTAAATGTCAACTACTGAAAATTAATTCTGAGTTTAATAGGGAGCCAGTGAAGAGAGTACAGGACAGGTGTATTGTGCTCACATTTACGTCTAATTGTAATACATTATTAATAATAAATTATTTATATTTTCAATACTTGTTACGATTCTTGAAAACCACTTTTTCATCTTTGACCCATATATTTCTTAGACATCAACAAGTCGCTCTCATTAAAGCAGTTAATAATATTTTTGTTTTGGTAATGTCTCTCTGATGATGAAATTTAGCAGTAGACATCTGGTTTAGTATAACTGCTTGATATAAAATATTGAACTCTGCAAAAGCAAGATGGATTTTCAGGTACACAATAATGACTGCCTATTTCCTGGAAGGAGCAGCAGATCAAACACAATCCTTGTCCAGTAAATGACCCTACAGAGGCAATAGGGCTTTGCCCAGTTGGTAAGCCTTTAATTAGGCTTGGGTTGCTAAGAACATCTGCTATTTGATAGACTGTCATGGGTGGAAAGTATTAAAATTTGTCTTTGAATCACCGACTTCCACATCAGAGTAACCATAACAATGACTATTTAGCTTGGAGAAAAATTCCTCACTTTTTTTTCTCCCCTCAAGAAACACCAGTAGGATTAAGCACACCGTGTATCCCAAACCAGAATGGACCGCTTGCATATATCAAACATTAAGGAAGTTAACCAGAAGCAAAGGACAAAAAAAAGTTTACCATTTTATCAAGGTGCTCGATAGATCTGTAAATCTCTCCTTGGCTTTCATCGTAGTAGGTGTAACGGAAACGCTGACCTGCAGAACAGATGAAAAAATATATAATCACTGATCATTTAACTAGCAAAAAAGTGAGTGTTCCTACAAATATACAGTATTAAAAACGACCTTCATTTTCATTTAAACCATGCTACAGAAGTCAGCTGGCTATTTAGGCAGTGTTTCTCAAGCTTCATGCAAGTGATGGAGAGGCTGAGAGGCTGTGCTGCTGAGATGTTGTGGGTGAGAAATGAAAATGAGCATATCTTTCTTACCAGATTCATGCTGCTTATTCATTTGAGACACTTCATTTTGAGTGGCTTGCAAGAATTTCGCCTCGCACAAATGAGCACACTATGCATCTCAGATGTCCACGATGTTGCTTATGATATGTTTTTTTGCTTTTAGTTAACTATTATTTGTATGATTGTAGGAGCATTAGATCAATAAAGTCCAGCTGAACAGAATGGAAGTTACTACAAATATTAGTTAAGTGTTGTGATGAATTTCCAGCAGAAGCTGAATATTGAATAAAAGAGTGAGGTTTTATTTTAGGGTCATTCGTTTTCTTTCATCTTAGTCCCTTGTTCATCAGGCCAAATGAGCCGCCAACTATTCCAACATGTTTTACACAGCGGATGCCCTTCCAGCTGCAAGTCAGTACTGGTAAACATCTATACATACTCATTCACACACTGTGGTCAATTAAGATCCAAATTCACTTGTCTTTAGACTGGAGGGGAAACCGCAGCACCCAGAAGAAACTCACACCAACACGGGGAGAACATGCAAACTCCACACAGAAATGTCAACTGGCCCAGCCAAGACTCGAACCAGCGACCTTCTTGCTGTGAGGAAACAGTGCTAATAACTGAGTCACCATGCCACCCAGTGTTCCTCGGCATGTTTTATAGACCTTTTAAATCCTAGTTAAATTGCAGTCCAAATCAGAAGAATCACAAAATATTTTAGAAGTCTGAATGAGATAAGTAATTGATAAATATAGCTACAACCCCATATATTTGAGACAAATATATAAGGTTATAGATATATTTGTCAAAAATTTAACTTAATCTGATTTATGAAATATGTATTCGGATTTTTACTAAAATGTGTAAACAAATAAGCGATAATATTGTTTTTTATATTTTAAGAAAATATTTCTTTGTGACTTTAAGTGATCAAAACCCCTTTGCTGCAAATGGTGGTTTAAATATTAGTGGCAAAGTATAAAGCTTTAAATGACAATTATTTCATATGTTGGGAATGTACTTAAAGATTTTAATATGTAAACTAGAACCTAAAGTTTATTGATAAACTTTGATGTTGGCTTGAGAAAGCCAACGTGACTGCGCTAGGACTAGGAATGGAAGTTGGCAGGAAGCATGGTGGCGGTTGCTAAGTCGTTGCTAGGCAGTTGCTAAAACAATTATGGCATTGTTAGGTGGTTGCTAAGCAGTTCCTAAATGGCAATGCTCGTGTACATGTTTGATCAAATGCTAATAATTAGTAGGCATTTCTAGCATATGTTATTGCATTTAGATAATCATTCATAGCATGTAGCTAATTGTTATTAGCACTTAGCTTCCATTATCATTGTTACCATGCATAGTACACCAGAAGTCCCATTTGCTAGCATGAGTCAAACAAGCCAATGCCCAGGTCCCTACGATGTTCTGATGTAGAGATATTGCTATTTTTAAATGGTTGCTAGGTTATACTGTTTTATTGCTATGGGGACATTTGACAGGTTAGTGATGATACATCAAAGCTTCTTGGCAATATGAGTGATCTTAATCAACCCCGATGTTTCTATGACAGTCTTTATGAGTGTCAAAAACTGGACTTGAACAGTTGTTGCTGGAAGGGCATTCGCTGTGTAAAACAAATGCTGGATTAGTTGGTGGTTCATTCCGTTGTGGCGACCCCTGATTAATAAAGAGACTAAGGGAATGAACATTATGTAAAAATGGCTTGCCGTATTTTTTTGAAAATACAATGCTTAATAAGTGTGAAAGTGATAAATGCAAAATGGCTTGCCATATCAGTAAAAAATATTTTTAATAGTTTAAGTCAAAAATGGCTTGCCATATTTTCAGAAAAATAATGCTTAAAAATTATTTATTGGAAAAAAATAAGTCTGATAAACCTTAAAGATATAGCAACAAAATCTAACGCATCTAAATACGGCTTTTGGCCAAATTTGGGGCTTGTATAATTTTTTATATGCCCGGATTGTAAAAATTTAATATTTAACATTTTTTGTTAAAAAAACAATAAGTCTTACAGGCATGAGGAGATATAGCAACAATCTTGAATGTAGAAGGCACATTTTGACCACATTTGGGCCTTGTGGCATGAGCGGCCTAGGAGGAGATACGTTTGTTTTCAAGGACAGAGTAGCATAACAGTATGTTGGCTTTCTCAAGCCAACATAATTATGGTTTTAAAAAAGCATGTCAGGCAATACTTTTAAAGCAGAAAAAAAATCATTCAACAGGAGACAATGCTTGCATACACAAAAAACTACTACTACTACTACTACGTTTTATTTTGTACCCATTTGTCTTATATTTTAACTCATTGTTATTATTGTTTTTTAATACTTTTTCCATTTTATTTTTGAATTTATTTCTTAATAATGACAAACCCAGAGCACTGACTAGTACCAGAAAGTAAAGACCAGTCTGTACAAACCCTAGTAGATTTGACACTGACAAGATGTCAGCATCTTGTCATCAGTACTTCTCATGTTAAGAACAAGAAATTACAAACTATAAATGACACTGACCGTTTTACTACTTCTTTTGACAGCTAAAAAAACTTAAAGCGTGCAAATGGACACACACCCCAATGGCAGAAGTCAGAGGAAATGATGAAGAGATTGGAGGGGTCAGCCAGGTATTTGCTTAGCAGCTTGCCATATTCCTGCTCTTTAGATTCACTCAGAGCTCCAACCAGCACAGGAACGATGCTGAACTCATCTTTATGGCTGTTTTTTAGAAACAAAAGCACAGAAAAGAATCATTTGTCTACTCCCAGATGGAGATTTGACATTTGCACGATCATAAATATTCTTTTGTCAATGTGTTTTTAAAACTGTGGCCATTTCACATTAACAGCACTGTAAGGGCTTTCAATTCCCCAAATTGCAGAGGTATGAGAGATTAGTGAAGAGAAAATGCTGAAAACCTTTAGAAATATTACAGTTGCTTGGCAACTAATTGCTCTGCTTGGGATAAAAAAAAACATCCAAATGTCTAATCAAACATTCTGAGTAAATGTTAACTTCTCTATGCCCATATACAGTAATGTTTAATGGAATAATAGAAGCAGTTGGTGGCTCTTGCATTTAAAAAATAAAAAAACCTAAACATCCATCACATCACAGCAAACTAATTAGATGCACTGCACTAGGTAAACAGATCCTGACAACATAATTAGTGGTTCTGACAAAGATAAATGAGCATTAAAGCGGGACTATGGATCAATAATGCTGCTCATGGCCTTTGCATAGACATGAGGTGAAACCTTGGTAAGAATATTCTTCCCTCTCTTTACATTTACATTTTTGTCTGTCCTACACAAAGACATGTAGGTCTCAAGTAGAGGTAACCATATAAAACTTAAGTACCACATAAACATATTTTAATATATTAATGCCAAAGCAATACTTGGTGTCAGGGGTTAGGTGTTTGAATAACACAGCTGAGAACCGGGTAAGTAACTACTATGCACCGGGTATCGGCCAGCGGCTACAATCGGATACTTTAACAAAGCCGACGATCCGGGGGTGTTACAGACTGTACCAAAAAGCTAAAGCCCGGGTAGGGGAGGTGTTTTAATTATGGGACTTTTCCGGGAGAAATAACAAAACGGGAGGGTGGCGGGATATGGGTCTGAAATACAGGAGACTCCTGGGCAAAACGGGAGTGTTGGCAGGTATGACCTACACAGAGACTATGTTTATATATAATAACTTTAACTGCAGAAGCTAATAGTAACTAATTAAAATTATTAGAAACTAATAAAGTTAGGTTAACTAATAACCCTAACTTTTCTGTTTTTGATTGCAATTGATTGTAAAACTGCTTTGAAACAATAATTATTGTGTAAATTGCAGAAAAGATCTGATTTTTGCAGAATAAAAGCATTTCTTTATGTCTCTAAACTATATCAAGTTGAAGCCAAAATGATTAATGTTTCAAATATTTTCAAATATGTCCCAAGTGCTATTTAATGGAGATAATTTTTTTTTACAACATTTAAAAAATAATAGTTTTCGTAGCTAATTTCTAATAATTTCTATTGCCTTTGTCATGATGATAGTACATACTATTTTACAAGATACTAGTATTAAGAAACTGGTATTAAGTGGAAATTAAAGGCTTAACTAGGTTAACTAGGCAAGCCATGGGAAAAAAAGTGTTTTGTTCTGTAGCCAATCAAAAACTAATCATTTCTTAAAAGGAAAACAAATTTTATTCCAACCAACTTAAAAGAAAAAAGGCAGGAAATACTGTGATAATTTTTAGAAAATAATTATAAAAACATTTACATTATTCTCAAAGGACAGCTCATGTCATATAATTCTCCAGTAGCTTAAACTATGGTTCTTGGTAATTCCCAAAACCTATGAAACTAAGTCACATTCAAAAAAAAAAAAGTGGTGTTAGTTCATGACCAACATTTCATAAATAACCAAGAATCATAGTTGCATCTAAAAAACTCAAATACAAAAGTCATCCACATCTTGGATGTCCTAAGGGTGTGATGTCATTTGGTTGTTATTTACTTCTCCATGGCTTTAGCGGTATAAGGCAGATGCATCTCAATGCTGTGTTCATCTTCATCTGTCTGCAGACTCATCCTCTCAAACATGCCTGTTTTCCACAGATCAGCGTAAACTGCCAAACAGAGAAGACATGTGAAGAAAATCAAAGCCTTTGTGTATTGCACTGATATGTTGCAATGACAATCACAATAACACAAAGCTTCCTTAATAAGAAGCATCATATAATAATTATCTCTCATTGTTTGATATTGCACGTCTAATATTACAACGGCTATGGGAAAGCTAATAACAAAATATGATCTCCTCTCCAAAGCACCGTTTGAAAGCAAATGAGCCTGAAGTAAAAAAACAATCTGGGTGACACCTTTTCTGAGCATTGTTATTCAGTCAGCATTTAATCCTGCCAAGGTTTTGGTTCGAGAGCGGGCAGGGAGGAAATGAGTAGGCCTGTCACGATATCTATTTTGTGTTGTACGATATATTGCACCAAAACATATTGCGATAAACGATATTATTGTCATTTTGAATCCCTCATTATATAATGCCAGAATGACAATATAATATCATCACAGTGCAAGTACACTCTTCCACACAACACAACTTATTTTATTATTATAAATATTTCATTTAATTATAGTCATTTAAACAATTTTACAATGAGGCATTGAAATCAGAATGTGAAAACACATATCCTAATTAAATATAAGAAATGTTAACAAAAAAAGTGCGAGGTAAAAAGTAACAGAGGCTGCGATATCTGCTTCCAGATCTATTTTCAGTTGACAGACATCCACATAAAAATATAATAAAGTAATTTATAGCAAATACTTCAGTGCATTTTAACCATTCTGACACTGATACCTCCAATAGAGATAGAGATATAATAATGGGTGCTAAAATGTATGGGTGATATATATTGCATCACCAAAAATCATTGAGGTCATGTCCATGCAATAAGTCAATACATTGATTATTGTGACAGGCCTAAAAATGAGACTCCTTACCCTTCTGGTCGATCCTCAGGTCGTACAGTGGCGTTCTGTAGACCTCGGCGGGGGAGAGGGCACAGCGAGACAGCGGCACGTGGTGAGAGGGGCCGAGAATGAACACCCTCCGACTGATGGATGAGAGAGCAGCGCTGCGGTTACCCTCTCTCCCCATGGCAAACTCAATAATACAGCTACGTCAAGAGAATGCAAAGTAAAAAATAAAATGCTTACGTGATGGAGGGGTCCACCTGCTTGTAGGCATGAGCGGCACACGCACCGCAGTAAGTGTAGCCGGCGTGCCTGCAAAATACAGTCCTTTGAGACATCAGAAATACAAGTGAAAGTGTTTTTCTGGTTTCATTCCACTTACGGTGCTATTATGGCTCTGGCTGGACCCGCTATAGATTGTGCTTGAGATAACCAGCCCTCAAGTTGTGCGTTAAGCTGGGATCCTAAATATAAGGAGAGGAAAATTGTCAATAAGAAACATGGAGATTGTTTTTTTTACACGAAAGCTGGGAAGATTATTTATCGTCTTATAAATGTAGTTTATACACTGTCATATTATGTAGAAATGTTTTTATTTAGTCAATTGAAGTATTTCTAGTCTGACTTTATAACCTACAACTGATATTTTAAGGGACACTTTGACAAAATCACTTTGAAAAAAAGACCATGTAAAAGTCAAAACTAAAAGATTTAGGACAATTGAGATGTGCACATATTTTTATGACTAATAATTATACTTGTAATAAATTATATATGTAATAAATACACATTCTGGCTTTTCAAAAAATCTACTATTTTGCCATTATTAAAACAGCACTTCCACAAAATAAAATTATGTTTTCAACCTATTTGAATGACTTTTTTTAACAAAAAAAAATATATATTAAAAAAAATAATGGGGCTCCTCGACTTTCATAGTTATTTTTAGAGGTCGATGGGTCCCAGCAACTGGCATTCTTCAATTTATTTTTGTATTCATTAGAAAAAAAGAAACCCATAAACAGGGCTTCTGCAGGTTTCACAAAGTAAAATTTAAGACCATTATGAATGAAATTTTAGACTAATACAGGGCTAAATGCTAAGGATCTTTTTATATATATCCCAGTCAGAAAAGATTTTCACATGACCTATCAAAAATGATTATAATTTAAGACAATAATAATAATTTAATAATAAAAATGTCAGTTCAGTGTTCTCAACAGTAAATAAATTGAGAACTTCTAAACAAATGCTCCATAAGGAAAGTAATTAAAGGCTATTTTTAAAGAAAAAGTTTTATTGAGTTTGGGATTGTTGGGAGTATGGGTGTTAATTGCCATTTGGGTAGCTATACATGAACCAAGAGTTCATGTATAAGTTAAGACATTTTTAAGACCATTATGAATGAAATTTTAGACTTTTACAGGGCTAGATGCTAAGGATATGTTTTTTTAGAATATCTCAGTTAGAAAAGATTTTCACTTGCCATTTCAAAAAAAAAATATTAAAATTTAATACATTTAACACAATAATAATAATTTTGTTTGGATATATTTGAAAATTGAAAACAAAAAAAACATATTGATTCACAAACCCTAAAACCCTTACCAAGAATATAACAAAACATAGCTTTCAATTGCTTCAGTCTACAATAATTATATAATATATATATATATCCCAGATCAGTATACTCAGCAGAAAATAATGGTTACTGTAGGGAAAGTAATTAAATGCTATTTTTGATAAAAGGTTAAGGGTTTTATTGAGATTGGGATTGTTGGTGTTTGTATGGTTGTTATTGGCCGGATAGCTATACATGAGGAAAATACACAGCTATACAAAGGAAAATTAAGACCTAATAAAAAAGAATTAAAGACCTACAACTAGGCATGGGATGATAAACGGTTTCAAGATTTACCGCGGTGTGGAAAAGTCAAATTATTAAAACCGCAAAAAGATTTTGTTATACTGTTTCTAAGGTAGATGTAAAGATGTTTGAAGTATTTTTATGAGTTGTAAGGAAATCTGTGTTTTTGAAACTAATGAAGATAGTAGAAGTCAATAGTTTGTTTTAATTATGTAGCCAGACATGTTTACTGTTCTAAAATATTACAAATGTTTTCTAAAATGTAAGATATCATGTTAAATGGGGTATTTAAAAATCAATTATTTTACAGCAGTAAACATATTACTGTGATACTGGGAAATTTTTATATAAGGTTATCTTACCATCAGAAACATATACCGGCCCATGCCTACCTACAACAAAATATTTCAGTAGATTTAAGATTTTTAAGCCCTAAAATTTTGCTTTTGAGATTTAAGATATAGTATGACCTTTTAAGACCCGGCTTTAAAACAATATGAAGTAGAATAAATGAAGTAATTATAATGTGTAGGTGAACATTACAATAAATGATCTTTAATTGCAAAAAAATTTAAAAAGTGTATAAGTAGTATCCCCTCAATTCACAAACCACAACACAAAAATGTACAACAGTATAATCAAGCATTCACATGAGGATTACTCATACAATTATAAATCAATCAAACAAATACTGCCTCAATAGGTGAAACGGCTGTTCTGAATGTTGATTTCTGCAATATTTCAGCCTCATACAGAGCCATTGTGCCTGCTCTAATGACTTTCTTATCAGAGTCAGACAGGACAAGATAACGGTTTTGAGAACCAGTCAACAGATGTACTTCGGCAGATTCTTTAAAAGGGATCAAGAATGCAGGCAATTTGGTCAAATTGTAACCATTGTTAATCAAACCTCTAAACTGCAATGAATCATACAGTTACATCACTAATGATATTCTCAAGAGCAGCCAAGAATGAATATTGATGAATGTGAAAACATGTTCATTTTAGCGTTGGGCGAATATGGATTTTTAATGGTTGATTTGGATACTAATATCTGGAGGGTTCGGTGGCTTTTTTTATCTAATACAAATGACAACCAAGGAGACTATTTATTCTGTATTTGTGCACACATTAAAAAAACAGACAAGTCAGTATGGAAATGAATGAGACCACTTTATTTTCAGTTTTTCTGGATTTATGAATTATTATTATATTATAATTAATATATAATTACTGAGTAAATAATTGTACTCAGGGCTCAACAACAAGGACTGCCCTATGGCCCGGGGCCAGTGTGCGAGGCTCTCGGAACAGTAGACAGAATTGTTACGATCTGTGCTGCCTTGTCGCAAGTTCAATTTGCCTGCGACTATTTGTCAATTGCGTATGGATACAGTCTTAAAATCAAGAAACAGGTTGTGCTTTTAAGCCTTTAAATGCTACCTTCTCTATGATGTCGTAAACACCATATTGCTTTTCGGTTCCTCTTATCTGATTTCATGTTGCGAGTCATTTTTTTGTAACCTGGTAAATACCAGTGCAGCAAAGTGACAGCAACTTCAAATTATGAGGCTAAAAGAATGTCTTGGAAGCAGACATTTACATGGGTACAGCGCGGCGATTTGCTCATTATACATTCATTAACATTTTTTAAATATTTAAATTCTATAACACATTTTTTTACACAAAATTTAAAACAAGAGGCTAAAAAAACCTGCAAACTTTTCCTTTTTTTTGGTGGGACCAGTGAAAATGTTGGCAGGGCAAGTAAAAATCTTAACCACTGGTTGAATCGGGCCAGTAGAAAAAATCCTTAGTGTTGAACCCTGCTACTAATAATATGATTCTTGCATAAAAAGAAAATTGGTCAAAATAGCAAACGAATGCCATATTTATGCTCATTTTATATGGTGCAAATCCAATGTTTTTACTACAGAACAGTTTTGAAATCAATATTTTTATCAATATTTTGTGGAATAACTCATTTACAATCCCAACACTGCATTGTGATCTATAAATAGAATTTAATAGAATCACTTTATTTCCATTATTATCCAGTTAAGTTACAATCTGCATGTTAAAAATCAAGGCATAACAGCCTGAGGATGTTTATATTTATGTATGGCACATTTCTCTACGTAAATTTTACTACCTAATATAGATTGTATTAAATTTATTAAAATAGACAATATTTTACAATATACAATACAAAATATCCAAAAATGGGTGTTTCAAACAAAACAAGATCTCTAATGCCAGTGGCAGCATGCAGGTCATGATTTAAAGCCTAGCAGGCTAGTGTAAACACATGTGATCTAGAGTGTGTGCAGTACTAGGCTTTTGTCATGCATCCTTTGTTACTGCATGAAAGAAAAATACATCACCGGCCCTCAACAGACTTTAATGTGGTGACTGTGCTCTCTGTTTTTACTGGAATGGAACTAACCAAATAAATACCGAGCGATGTAACATTAAACAATATTAAATGACGTCAGCATAAAAACTGTATTTTATTTATTCTAAAAACACTTGTGTCATGTACAGCTGTCATAGATACTTCATCAAATAGCTTTAGCCGTTAGCAGGGTAAATCCAGCCTTATGAATAGCGACAGAAGTTCATCAGTATGGATTTACTGATCCAGCAAAGCAGGGCTGGGTGAAGTTAGCGTTGATGGTATATTAATCTGTGGTATTAGTTTGTGTAGTTGTCTTGTGTAAGAAAATACACAAGCACACAAAAATATACACACTAGCTACAGGCTAACCCGCTAACTGCTGGCCTGTTTTTGTTCTCATCTGCTGATTTACACAGAAAAAATGCACGTATATACTAGACACAAAATAAATAAATAAATAAAGAAGTAAAATATGACTGAATCAGTCTTGACAACTTAGATAGTGGCCTTTAAATTAAAGTTAAAGTAGTTTAACTTCAATTCGAATTCGTTTCCAACATTTAAAGTAAGTTACTTTATAAAAGAATCACATGGGATAAAATAAACGACATTTTATGACCAACACCCATTAGAGATTGCAGATTTAGACTTATTGCTGAGCAAAGTGAAATCCCTTTAAAGTGATAACGTTACTATGGCAAAATTAAGCTACTATCATTCAGTTATACATTTAAAACACAATTACAAAATAAACGACTGTCAATTTAGAAAAAAAGCTACACGTTATGAAACGCACCCTGCGGTCTTTAAACAATTTTAGCAACACCTATTTAATAATTCCCAGCTGATCTAAAGGGCTGTGACTGAAACCCAACTGAGATTTCTACTTAGGTAGCATCCTAGTCATCATAGGAGCGGTCAGAATTGCTGTCTGAGCAGGCAGCTCACTATGTATTGACACACTTCCAGACTCTCACACACAGTAAGCAGGACACCGGACCTCAGGCCCGGGCCGCTCTCGGGTCTCTGGCTCTACCTGAGGCCGTGTACCAGCTGCCGGCGTGGCTCGCTTCTCTGCACACCATCCGGTTCGACATCTTGGTGCCCGCGCCGCCTATCTTGGTCCAATAAAACCTCGTCGGTGGGGGGAAGAATGAACTAAAAACACTGAGGAAAATATGCTAGCTCAGAAAGTAACGTTATATGGCTGTGCTAAAGCTGCGTGTCGAGGGAAGCGGTGCTTTTTATAATCTTGATATAAACGCGAGACATATAACTGACGATACGCTTAAGTATAAAGAGGTTGATAGACTGCCTGTGAAGAACAAAGATCCGACCAGTTCAGCCGCTCGCTGCCAAGTTTGTCTCTGTTATCCGGATGGGCTGGTTTGCCCCATCTAGGCTTCCGTTCCGTCAGAGAAACTGGGCTGGCAGAGTTGATTGACAGACCAAAGGCGACATTTTCATTGGACAATGACTATAAGAGGCGTGGCCTATATGATGTATATGTTGATAACGCTTTGATGATTGGATAACTCGGTGTGTTTGTCTAAGATCTATTGGCGAAGAACTGATGTGGGCGTGGACTCGTAGCTCGTTTTATTTGGTGAAAACATTCAGCATATGTAACAACTAGATTGGATTAAGCACACTTTTTTAATGCAGTTTATTTTTTCGCGAAGAGTAATTGTGTGAATTGTTTTAGGATTGTCTATTTGTACAAAACATTGTAAAAATAATGAATTTGTATGACATATAAAACGTTGTTTGCTATATGGAAAATCGTTGTTTTCTATTTTATTTGACTAAAAAAACCTGTTCATCTTCGGCATCTGCTTGTTGTTCTCTCTAAATGTATATATTTTTCCTAATTGTTTGTCATGCTTATAAATAAGCCAATAAGCGTACATTTCTACTGTCTAGCTGCAGTTTACCACCAGAGGGCACTGCTGTATAAAAGATTATTTGCCTGGCTTCTGGACCCAATCGTGTTTCCTAAAGGTTGGTGTTTGTTTGGACAGCTTGTTTAAATAATAAATCTGAGGTATGAGACCGGCTGCACTACAAAAGATAAGAAATATATAAAATTAAGGCAATCCAGGCAAATAACCAGTTACTTGTTCTGTATTAGATGTATTCATATTACAATTGTCATTGTGAATATCAGATAACAGTTTGTATTAAACCATAGACACAGCATTTATATCATGCAATGCATTTATTAATGAATAAAATATTTAATTAAAGAAACTCGCAATCCGACAGTGCAAATTAATTGTCCCTCCTGGTGTGCCGTCCCAAGTAGGTCCCGTTTCCAAAGCAACAGCGACACTATCACAGACGCCACAAGTTTATGAGCGTTTTACTTTCAGGTGAGTGATGATAAACGGAATTAATTAATTAAGTTTTGCTGCTGATGTTTTTTTCACGTCTCACAAATTCAAAAAACGTTGAACATTCGAGTAAAGGTAAAAAAAAAAGTCTAACGTTAATCTTCAGAAAACCACCTGTCTGAGGTGCTAACGTTAGCTAACGGTAATAATAGTAGTTTGCTACGTTAGCTGTTATCTGCTCTGCAAAACATCTAAACACTTTTTCTCAGCCAGACTTTATCATTGTCTGTTACAGGGGAATGTTGGAGACAGCATGGCTGATGTGACCTCAGAGCAGTATTTTATTGAAAGGTTCTCTGTAACCTGCAGTAAGCCGGTTTCCCATCTTCAGTTGGCGTGCTGTCCTTCTCATTGTGCCATCCCATGGAAGGACAAGAATATTAGGATTTATGAAAACAAAATCAACAACCTGGAGGTTATTGTGCACTAATAGTACATCTGGTCTCACCAATCAGTTCATAGGAACCTTGAGTTTACTGGATTTTATCACATTTGTCCTCCACTATTGCTTTAATTCATCATGGCATGTTATCAAAAATGTATTATTTTTTCAATTACCTATTCCCTAAAAACTTATTTAAGGCAGACCAGCCCTCTAGCACTGTTTTCCCGTTCTCTCAAACCCAACCCCTCCCTCCCTTCCTCCCTCTATTTCCTCGCTTTCCATTAACAATTCTATACCCCTCTTTCCGATTCTCTAGGTTGAATCGGGGAGTCCAATCCCTCTACCAAAATATTACAGAGACGGTACCCCCACTCTTGAGTCTCACTCTTCCCTTTCTCTGCGTCCCACTATTCCCTTATCATCCCTTTCATCTCTGCATCCCTACAATAAAGGCTGGTGAAATGATTACTAATGAGCCCAAAATATGCTAAGAAGATATCCATCACACCTAGGGCCGCACAATACTATAAAAGATATACTATATGCTATATTGTTGTTGAGTTTAATTATAATAAATAATTTGCCTTGAAAAATGCTATTTTTATTAGCTATATTTTAAAACCATTATTATACTATTAAATAAACAGGTAAAACATATTTTTTCAGATCTAAATAATTCTATAGATATACTGAAGAAGGTTGAAATGTTCACTTAAATAGTATTTTTTTCTTCTTTTGTTTCTACTATGGATGTCAATGGATTTTCCCAACATTTTTCAGATTATCTTATTTTGTGTTTAACACAAGAGAGAAATGTTTACAACCCCTTAAGTTTCATATTTGTGTTAACTATCCCTTTAAGAGTTGCTTTTATGATTTAAATCACTTTTCTTTCCTATTCTGAATATTTTATTTGTATATTGACTAGATATTTGTGTCAATGAACTAGTGTACCTAATAAAGTGGCTGGTGTATATGTTTTATTTCCATTTTGAATCACATAATAGGAAATAAAAAAAAAGTCATTTTAACATTTTCTACAGCCTCCCTTGGAACTGACCGGCCACCATGGTGATGTGTCTGCTATGGTGTTTGGGACAGAAAGAGATCAACCCATCCTCTGCAGTGCTTCTGAAGATTATGTTATTGTCTGGGACATCAATCGCTGTTACAGACAAATCAAAGAAGGTAATAAACTCCCAAAGTCCTCGATTCAAAAACAGATTGAAAAAGTCTGGAGTTAAATTTATCCAGATATATAAAACGGCACCACTCAATAATGCTTTACTCTGAATGCAGTCATTATTCTCTGTCAGTCACACTTTCTTGGTCTCAACTCCCAAACATGACATCTGTGTTCCAGGTGGAATTGCCTCAGGTAGGGTTGTTGGCACGTTGCTCGGGAGGGTGGTTTATCTGTCGCTGTGTCCAATGAGTGCGAAAGTGGCGGCGTGCTCTGGCTCCAGGGTGGTTTTACTGAATGCTGAGGTATGAAATGAGATAAACTATTTTTATTCACCGAATTCTAAAAACAAAAGCAGTTGTGCTGAAACCGTAAAAAGGAAACAAATGTCATTGCTGACCCATCTCCAGATGAAATGCTGAACAAAGCCTGCATGCAGAACATTCTGTCTGGCTAGACCATAAATATTAGAGATAACATTGAAACCAGCAGTAAATTAATGTACAAAACAATTCTGAATAGTCGGCTTCTGTTTTGTAAGTTAGAAATGAATTGGAGGATCACATTCAAAATCTGTTTGATTAAGCCAGATTTAAATATATGCTTTCTTTTGCATTATGTACTGTAGTAAAAGACTTTAAATTATGAAACTATAGACATGTCACATTAAGTAAAACAAACCCTCTGTGTGTGTGTTTCCAATAGAGAGAGGAAGTACTTGGAGTGCTGAAAGCTCATCTTGGTCCTGTGACAGCATCTGAGTTTTGTCCATGGGATGTTAATCTTCTCATCTCAATTTCAGAGGACAGAACATTTAAGGTGCAGATATGACGTAAACAGGGAGAACCAACAGTCTATAATTGTTTTAAAGATGGATTTAAAATCCAGTGTCTATTAAAAATGTTTAAAGTAGTTATTAGAATACATTAAATTGATGAAGTGACAGTAAAGATAATTAATAATGCTAATGATAATAACACATTTTATTTATATGACACTTTTATGACATCCAATATTTCTTCCAAAATTTCTTCAAATAAATATATTTACTATATTTTTATTTTGACATTTTGAAAAATTCACCTCATGAAAGTCACCCATGATTAAAATATGTTATGTTTATTAGCAAATGTATTCGGCTAGAATAAAAGCTTAAAAGTTTTCAATTCTTTTTTATTATTATTAATTAGTTTTAATTCTTTTAGAATTAAATGTTGTAATTTGTTGTGATTGGTAATCATGGCTTTCCCCCTAAAGTATTGTTTTGAATGACAAAATTTTTATTTTGGCAGTTATTTCCGCTTTGGTGACCCCAGATTAGTTAAAAGACTAAGCCCCAAAAAAAGAATGAATGAACATTTTTATTTTAAGAAAATGTCAGTAATGGTTTAAGACAGGGGTGTCAAACTCAATTCCTGGAGGGCCAAAGCCCTGCACAGTTTAGTTCCAACCCTGCTCCAACACACTTACCTGTAGGTTTCAAACAATCCTGAAGGACTCAATTAGTTTAATCAGGTGTGTTTAATTAGGGTTGGAACTAAACTGTGCAGAGCTGCGGCCCTTTTGGAACTGAGTTTGACACCTTTGGTTTAAGAGAACTATAAACCAAACCAGGGTGGCACGGTGGTGCAGTGGGTAGCACTGTCGCCTCACTGCAAGAAGGTTGCTGGTTCGAGCCTCGGCTGAATTTGTTTTCATTTCTGTGTGAAGTTTGCATGTTCTCTCTGTGTTCGTATGGGTTTTCTCCCAGTGCTCCGGTTTCCCTCAGAGTCCAAAGAGGTGTGCTATAGGTGAATTGGGTAAGCTAAAAAATTGTCCGTAGGGGATGTGTGTGAATGAGAGTGTGTGTGTTTCCCAGTAATGGGTTGCAGCTGGAAGGGCATCCGCTGCGTACAACATATTCTGGATAAGTTGGCGGTTGATTCCGCTGTGGCGACCCCAGATTAATAAAGGGACTAAGCTGAAAAGAAAATGAATGAATAAACCAAACCAGCAAAACTTAACTCTTATTTTTTCATATATGTTTATCTAAATTATTAATACTTTTTATATATACCAGATATGGGATGTGAAGAAGGGGGGTATCCTCTTTGAATCTGCTGTCCTGTCAGGTAAGTGTGTAAAATCTAGCACCATATTTACACAACAGAAATTGAGTTTCTTCACACATTATAGCCTGTAAATGTAGAGAAATTGAAGATGCTTACATTTTATTTTCACAGCATATCCACTGTTAAGTCTGTCCTTCATGAAGCAAAATGGTCAGTTCATCACAGGATCTGGTGATGGACAGGTCAGTCACACACACATAAACACACAAACACAGGCTTTGACCTCTGTATTTCATACAGTACAGCACCTGTGTTAACTGAATTTTCATTGTGATTCAAGCTTTGGTGCTACACTCTCCCTGTGGACCACAAATGTCGCTTGGTGACAAAACTGGACCTTTCAAAACTTGAACAAAAGCATGAGAGAAACCTCCGGATGATCAGCCCTCCTCAAAGTAGAACAGATGGTTAGTAAAACCATAAGCCACATTTCAGACTACATATGACTACTGTTTTCACATGCCTATCTCACTGTGGAAACAATACATCTGTTTGAAGTGAAAAAGATCTTCGGGAGCCTCATCTGTGTACTTTTCTAGGAACGGCTCGGTGTGATGAGAGAGGAGCAGTCGAGACAGCAAAGCCTGTACTGAGAATCTGGCCACAGACACCAAAGATTAACCATGCTAGCTTGCAGCAGAGGTACTGTCTTTGGTCTGTTTTTGTTGTTCACCTTTATCTGATTGAGCTCCTGAGAAATGATTTAATGGTACTGTATGTTTTGTAATAGGACTGTCACAAGATTAAATTTTCACGACATGCTTTTCAACAGTCAATAGGTTTTCAAATTTTTTATTTTTTTTTATGTCATTGATCTCAAGAATGAAAATGTAAAAGTTATCTATATAGAAATTTAAACATTTGTTTGCTTTAATGCATGTTTTATTAATCAGTTTGTATTAAAATGTAATTAAATCAATGAATAAAATAAATATTTATTTATTATTTTATATTAATATGTTCAAAATCAAAATCCATTTTACTCTATTTAGTTTTTGTGGTTTAGTTTATTGTTATTTATTTGTTTAAGTCATTTTAATTTAATTTATGCATTTTGTATAACATTATTATATTTTAATGTATTTTAGTTTTTTATATTACTTTATTTTTATTTTACTTTATTATATTACATTAGATTTGTATTTCCCTTAGACCAGGGGTGCCCAAACTTTTTTTGTATAAAGGGCCAAAAATCATTATGAGCCAAGGGCCGAAGATAAATATACCAAACTGCAGTTGAAGTCAGAATTATTAACCCCCCTTTAATTTATTATTAGTTTTTAAATATTTCCCAAATTACGTTTAACAAAGCAAGGAAATTTTTACAGTATGTCTGATAATATTTTTTTCTTTTGGAGAAAATTTGGTTTATTTGGTTTATTTAGGCTATAATAAAAGCAGTTTTTCAATTTTTAAAATAAAATTTTAAGGTCAAAAATTCTATTTTTTTCTGACTGTCTACAGAACAACCCATCATTATGCAATAACTTTGCTAATTACCCTAACCTGCCAAATTAACCTAATTAACCTACAGGTAGTTAGGCCTTTAAATATCACTTTAAGCTGTATAGAAGTGTCTTGAAAAAAATCAAGTAAAATATTATTTACTGTCATCATGGCAAAGATAAAATAAATAAGTTATTAGAAATGAGGGGGGGAATCAGGGGGCTAATAATTCAGGGGGGCTTATAATTCTGACTTCAACTTTATATTACATCAAAGGTGCCATGGGTAATTTCCAAATGTATTTCCTAATATTTATAAATAAATAAAAAACATTGCTTTTAACAGTATTAACTGATGCAGTATAACCTTTTTGTAATAAAAACAGTGGCGTTCAATGCTGAATCCACTAATCAAGCAGAATCTGCCTTTGATTTGCTCACCAAAGTCTCTGCATTGTCTATCCATCAGCTGACAGTATGTACATCTAAACTAAATCAAATTCATTATCAATTTTTAATTGAAACGTAGCATTTATGTTGCTTTTAACAATAAAACAAACAAAAAAAAGGTTACATTTGAAATGCCAATCTCTGAACAATCCCCATCATTCTCCCTCTCTTCTCAGATGGGATAGTGGGCCAAATCAAAGGTTACCATGGGCCAACTTAGGCTCTCAAGCCTTAGTTTTTACATCTCTGCCTTAGACTAATGAGTGTTTGTGTATCCTAATAAAATGCTTGATTTTTATTTGGATGTTATATTTTGTTAATTAAATTATACATTATTACAAAGTTTTTATAGCTTGTAGTTTGGCTGTTTTTCATAGCTTTTCAAAATGTAATCGAATTGTATTCATAAGTACAGTTACAAATATTAAGATTATACTGTATTTGAGTTGTTACTGTAGAAGTAATGTTGTGTTGTTTATATAGCGGTGATACAGTGCATTCTACACCTGTCTTCATTGGCATAAAAACTCACTGAAACTGATTTTTCTATGGTCATAGCAGGAAATTTCCAATTAGGAAGTCATTTTACCCCTTTTATGGTTTCATGCTGTCCAAGATGCTTGTCACATCACTGCAGCTGTTGGCCTTGTAGGTTATGTAATCCGTTTCATCCCTGGAGTCAAAGTTTAACCTGCAAGCTTTCGCATTACAAGAAATTATATGTTGAAATTTGTAATCTATCTTGCAAAAAACTTTAACCCAAAAACTTTAGTATAGTCAACCACGGAGGTGACCCTTGCAACTTTATGGTTTGACTGCAATAAGCCTGACCTAAATCAAGCTTTTATTGCAGCAGGTTCAAGTCTCTAATCATAGATTCTCCAACTGTAGACTCAATTAAATATGACAGCCTTTCATAAATGTTCTCTGTGCTAGAGACTCTGTGGCATTGCGGGCCTGAATTCCTTGTACAATACAGATCTTTTTCCTTTTCTTTTCTTTTTTTCTTCTGCACTCTGTGACATTAACCAGGCCTTAGATCTTTTGTAGTGTCTTTTGGCAAACAGTCTCGTCTTTGTTCTTTTTCCGTAGAGGAAGTTATGTGTGGATCGGAAGTTCAGATGGGCTCTGTCTGCTTGACCTGGATACTTCAGAGCTTCTCAGCTTTCTTCCACTCAAAGGCATCATACGTTTTCACTTAAAGAGCAGGTCATATGGGTTTTCAACAACAACAAAAAATTATTTGCAGTTTATAATAGCTATTCTTTAATATAAACAATCTGTAAAGATGTTGATCCAAAAGGTGAATGATAAATGAAGATATTGTCTCTCAAAGAGTTGAGTTTGAATCGCCTTAACAATATATTTTTTAATCTTTTGCCAGCCACTAATCTATGCCAATGCAATCAAAGAAAAGTATTTGCATAATCCCTGCCTGCACATGACATGTATAGGAACACTTTGAACTGATTGTTCTGTTTCAGATGCAAAATTGATACTGAAAGACCAATCAAAACAGACTTGGCCAGCTGACCAATCAGAGCAAAGTCGACTTATGAAATATAGCCATTTTTACAGACCTTAACCTCTGAATTGATTCAAGGAAATCATATCAAAATCAATAAAAATGACTGTAATATTAAATGTGCATTATGACAAAATCACAATGTTTTCAAATTTTAGAGGTATTTAAACCTGTTGTAAGGGATTTCAACACAATATTAGGACACGTTAAAATACCACATGACCTGCTGTTTATATCTTAACACATTTTTTAGTTTGGAATGAAGCTATTTTTCAAGCAGATGTTTGACCTGTTGTATTTTTATCTCAGTTTCTGCTCAGCATTAATTTAAATAGCATAAATGTAATGCAAATAAATGAGTGTGTAGCCTTGTGTGTTGTACAACAAACCCCTTTATGTTTTACTTTAAACTTTAAAAAGTGACAGAAAGCCAGTGTATATGGATTGTACTGTTAACGATTATTTTTGCAAAATCTTGCAAGCTTAGACATAATGAGTGGATTTGCAGAATTGATTTTCTTTTGGAAAATACAATGCCAGTTTCAATGCTTGAGTGTCTTGAGTGTTAAGAAAGTTTAGTTTTCAGAGATACTCATTTTTAATATATGATAAACCAATTTACTTGACTTGTTTATTTAAAATGAAAACTACTTATTTAAAATGAGCTGACACAACACAATTATCGAGGGTTTTTTTTTAGGCAACCATTTAAATTAGCAAAATTTAGGGCTGCACAATATTGGAAGAATGTGACATTGCAATGTTTTTATTCACTGCAATATATTTTGCATTATAAATGCAATTTCACCAGATGAATTGAATATCTTGTAAAGATTGAGATTATTGTGGAGGGGAGCGTATCTGCATAAAATCATTTTAAAATGACAAGCATAGTTAAATACAACAGACAGAAGATGCAAATAAGTAAAGATTTATGATTTCCTGGAAAGTCAGACAGTATCCAGAAGCAGAAATTAAGTAATCACTGTATTATAATAATAATAATAATAATAATAATAATAATAATAACATTATATCATTTTAATTGAGTACAAATGTACACTTAACCTTTAAGCTACAAATGTTTAATTTATTGTGCTTAAATGTTCAAGTTTGCTCAAAAATGTTACAGCCAGGCCTTAAAAACACATGCAAATAATAAACTTTCACTCAAAGGTTAAAATGTGAAATTACTCCTCTATGGTGTTAACAGTAATGTCTGATCAACTATAATCCTGACTACAATGCAGATCCCTGCAATGTGACTATTGCTGACTCGCACATTGCTGTATCGATCCTGAAACAATATATTGTGCAGCCCTAGTAAAATGGAATAAAAAAGTAATTTTTTCATTTTGTCTCAACACAAATACATTGTGTGAAACCCAGCATTTTTACAGTATATATATATATATATATATATATATATATATATATATACATACACACACACACACACACACACACAGTATATAGGTTAGTCATTAAAGGCCTCAAAACATGAATTTTGAAAGTGTTTAGTAGCTATTTTTGTCCTTGCAGGTGACCTGAGCATTTCCATAGCAGGCTCATGGGTGATCTCTGAAGGACTTGATGGCAGCGTAAGTCAAATTCTGATAATTGAAATTGAATACAAATTTTGTGTTTGCACATAAATTTGATTGATTGAATTTCTGACTGTTGCATAATGTTTTTTTATTAACAATGAACATCCACATTTATGACAAACTATTATGATCTCCTTCAGAAAAGCTCCTTTTTTTAACAATCCCAACAGTTAACCTTAAACTGCTCTACATTCACATGTATTGCACCTTCGGTATTTTTACAGCCCTGCAATTAGCAGTTTACGGTTTCAAAAAGCCAGGATTATTTAAGATGTAAAGCTTTTACGAGGTTTGGCTGCGGTTTCCATTCTGGTAGGAAAGTAATGTGTGTGTGAGGCACAGTATAACATGATGACTACTCTCATCCTCTCTCTCTCTCTCTGGTCAGATGCGTTGTCTGGTGTCTTCTCTGTTTGAGACTTCAGTCGTTCTTTTAGTGGTTAATGGTGTCAGACTGGACGAACTCTGCTTAAGGATGGCAAAGAGCTTCTCTGTTGAAGAGCAACTTTCAGTCATGCCCAGGTAACCACACTCAAATTTTTACCTCTGAGAAGCACTTGATCATGGTCAGGTGGTGCTGGGATAAAAGATATTCAGGCAGGATATCATTTGATAGCATTTTATAGGGAAGAATTCACTCTTTGTTTGATTGTGTCGTTTGCCAGAATTATCTTCAGTAGACCTATTGTAAGCTTCTGATTATTGATGAGTCAGTTACCACAATGGAAAATGCTATATTTTTATTATTTCCAGTAACAGACGTCTATTTATATTGTTCTTTCCCCAACTCTTTATTTTTCTGACGTTTTCCCCTCTTTATATTCACCATTTTCAGTTCTCCACTGATGACAACGTCCCCTCTGAAGGCTGAGCTGGCAAAAAAGGGCCCAAAACCTCAAAGAAAAGGAGGTTGGAGTTCACAAAACCACACAAAACACACACAGGCATTTTGTTGCCAAATACATAAATCACCATCTTTGGATTTACAAGCATTTCAGTATCACTGACACCCTCCTATGTTAATTCAAGATAATTTAAGATGCTAACTCATTACCGTCCAAGATGTTAATCTTTCTGAACTGGCAAATTGTCTGTACACTTTGTCATTAGTCCCAGCAGCATTTTTAATATACTGCAGTTTAAGATTTTTTTGGGTTGATTCGAAATACTTTCGAAATACATGGAAAGGAAACCATCCAGTAAAACTGTCAGTCTTCATAAAACAGTCTGATGACATCTGGTGTCTGAGGTCACAGAGATACAGAGTTTTGATAACCACAGAAAGAAAAGACGAGCCACAGACCACATAAAAAATATCATTATTAAATCAAAATGTACTGTTTTTTACCTTAACACAACAAGTTTGGTTTTAATTTGCATGGTTTATAACAGCATATTATTCTAAAAACTAAAATCTACCAATAAATAAGATGTGTTTGCAGACAAAATTAATTTACACTCTATGCTTTTGTTAAAAACTTTAGGTTGCAAAATACAAATAAAAATGCAAAACACGTGTAGAAGAAGCTAAAGGAGTAAACTATGTATCAGTGCACTTCGGATGAGATTTTAGATTCTTTTACATCAGCAAACAAATCATAAGTTCAAATATATAAAATAAAACTAGTGAAAGTAGTTTACACAAAACTGAAAATTTTGTTATCATTTACTCTACTCTTGCTTGTTCCAAACCTCTTTTTCTTTCTTTGTTGAACAGAAAAAAACCTGAAACCTGTAACTATTGTCTTCCATAGTATTTGTTTTTCCTACTATGGAAGTCAATGGTTACCGGTTTTCTGCTTTCTTCGAAACATCGTCTTTTTTGTTCAGTAGAATAAAGAAACGGTTTGGAACCCCTTGAGGGTGAGTGAATAGTGAGTAAATGAAAATTTTAGGGTGAACTATGCCTTTAACAGCTGTTGCGGCTAACATGCCTTCATCAGGGTGACAATATACATGCACAACTGGAGTTAATTTAATCCATCAATATATCAATAATCAGGTGATTGTGTCATGTGAGATATTGATTAATTAACTGAACTCCAGTTGCGCCGGTATATTGTCAACCTAATTAATGTAACTTTTTTCACATTTCTTTTGAGTGCCTTGGACTGATTATTTGTTTGCTGAAGGCAACATTATGAACTTTACTCCTCAGACTCGGCACAAAATACACATGTGAGCTAATGCTGTTTTTACCCTGTATGTTTAGAGGAAGGACACAAGTGTTGTATTGCTCATTAAAATTCAATTCAAGTTTATTTGTATAGCGCTTTTTACAAAAAAAATTGTTGTTTCAAAGCAGCTTTACATTATTGCACATTATTGCATTACAATAACATTCAGAAAAGTTAAGGTTATTAGTTACCATAACTTTATTAGTTACTAATAACTTTAACTAATTAACTAGTAAATAATAGCTTTTAAAAAATTGTTTTAGATAAACATAGTTAATCTGCAGTTAAACAGTTATAAATGATACTTGTGCATATCTCAGCACTGCAACCGTTAAAGGTTCAAGACACCCTGGAGTGATTTGTCATCAGATTTGACTCAGATTTGTGTGTGTTAAGCATCAGTTAAGAAAACATCAGCTTTAATTGCGGGGAAACCTGGATAACTTTGAGCTTTTGTCAGCTAATTTTATCGTCCGGGTTTAAAAAAAGAAATTGGGGTGGGACTAAAATCTGTGAAGTAGCGCAAATCTGCTAGTGGAGTGATGACGCGTCGGTTTTTCATTATTATTCTAAGCAGAGATTTCTTATCCTATAAGAAGACCCTGCTTGTTAATTATTCATGAGAGCACCTGCAAGCACGAAGGCAATACCTGCCAAGCTCTGAGACCCAGTGACTGGGTGAGACTGCGTCTGTGTGGTCCGGCAAGCAGTATTTAGCCAGTCATGAAGCCTTGTAACTATGTGTTTGTTTTCATGATCAACGGGATTTGTTGCATGTTTTTCCCCGTGATGTTGTCAGGGCCGATACAGCAAAGCTGTTGGTTTGTTGCAAGAATTTTTGTCGAGAGAGCTATACGAGAAGTGGAGAATAGCAGGCTTTGTCTTTTATCAGTTGAGTTCGCTATCATTCAGACACATCTGTGCTGCTGTGTTCGCCTATTTTAAAAATCCTCCAGATTATCGGTAGAGTGAATGGTTGAAATAGACAGGACATTTTAACTTTGTAAACTATAAAATCATGCACCTCCTAACGGTTTGTCTTTCATTTCGTTAGCCAGCTGACAACATTTCTCCTCTTTTTCCCCTGCTCTGCCAGCCACACACACTCACACACACTCACACACACACACACACTCACACACACACACACACACACACACACACACACACACACACACACACACACACTCACACACACACACACACACACACACACACACACACACACACACACACACACACACAAACACACACACACTACAGTCAATTTAGTTTACCTAATTAACCACCTATACCACATGTCTTGGGACTGTAGGGGAAACTGGGGCACCCGGAGGAAACCCACGTGAACACAAGGAGAACATGCAAACTCTACATAGAAATGCCAACTGACCCAGCTGGGACTCGAACCAGCGACCTTCTTGCTGTAAGGTGATAGACGCTAACCACTGAGCCACCATGTTGCCCCTCCCTCAAACAATTTCTCAAAATAAAATAAAATATAAATAATTATAAAATATTCTTAAGAGTTCTTTTACTTCCTTGCAGACACTTTTGTGTGTTTTAACTGCATATACAGGTTTTTTTTTTGGTCACATGTCTCAGGGATGTAAAAGCAATCCGTCATCATCATCTCTCTCTTTCTCTCCCATAAGGGAGGCTCTTCTTCCATCTCCAACTGGGCATTATTTCTCTTCCGTACTAGAGTTACACATCCTCAGAGGTTTCAATTTTATTCCATAGCTTTTGCTGGGGCCTAAGTCAATACTATAACTAGGACAACTCATTTTCTTCATGCTTCGGGGCTTTGACGTGCACTGGTAGTCGGTATCCAGCAGTTTAAGGTCTATGTGATTGAAGGTCTGACAGCTTGAAGGCTGATCTCAGAACAGTATAACGTGGTCTTGAAGAATGGGTTATGTCAGGATGTGGTTTGTTGACAATGACCCGAAACCTCTAACTCACTTGAGTACGCTGTTTCAGTACTATTTGCCAATGTAAACTGAAATCATTTACAATACCACAGTAATAAGTATGATCTATGAATGTACTCTGTACATGGTTTCTTACTGACAGAACTTTTTTATCTAATGTCCAAAAAGCTATTATAGTCATATGGTCATTTGAGTTGTATTAGCACTATTTTGTTTCGGGATTGTTGAAGTCATTAGAATAATGATTGCGCTCAACATAATGAATTTATTCTGCTCTCACAATAGGTTTCTTGGCTTGGTCCTGCTGCAAGTCTGTTATTCTTCATTTTTTTAGGGGTTTAAGTTGTTTGAAGATGTTTCCTTACAAAACAGCATCACCAAAAGAGGCAATTAAGTTTAAATATCAAAAACACATAAAATAATAGCACATTTTACTGATTTTAATCTTTATCTATATAAAGCTAGGATAGTTCAATTTGGCTCCAATCCCAAATGAAAACCAGCTAATTCAGTTTTTTGAAAGTTACAAAAAAATCCAGGAAAGTGTGTTGGAGCAGGTTGGTGCTCAGTTCATTACAGGAGCAAGACTGGACACCCTCTTCTTTAGTAGTTGCATTTCTATTGCCAGTTTCTCAGAATATACATTTAGTCTGTGTCAGACAGGGGAACCACTTTTGGAAAAGTGTGCATTCCTTTTTAATGGAGCTGGAAAGCATTAACTCACTGTAGGAAAGGAGAAATGTCAGTTCTTCATGTTGTGATCATATTGTAACATTTAACATATTTTTACTGCAATGGGATTTTTTAAAATAAATTCCTATTATTAATTTATTAATTTTGTGGTTTATGAAACTAAAATAATGTACAGTAAGCTGTTCGACATAAATTTTTTTTAACCCTAATCATATTTTGGAGTAATAACCACCTGATTCTAGGTAGAGCAAGGCAGGTTTATTTGTATAGCACATTTTATACAAAATGGTTAGAAACAAGAACAAAGGAAATGTGCATTACAACAAGTATAATAAATAAAACATTTAGAATAAGAATAAAAATAATAAAAAAAACAGATGAAAATGTGTTAAAAAAAGTTTGAAAGGAATGAGAAAAGAAAAGAATGACCTGAGAAAAGAAAAAGAATGTGATCTGTTGGACGTAGTGCTCATTCAGTAAAAGCACAGCTAAACAGATGTGTTTTAAGCCTTGATTTGAATGTGCTTAATGTTGAAGCACATCTGATTATTTCTGGAAACTAATTCCAGACTTTGCAGCAGTGTTGGGTGTAAGTGGTTACCAAGTAACCAGAGGTGGGTAGTAACGAGTTAAATTTACTTTGTTACATTTACTTGAGTAAAATTATTGGGTAACGTGTACTTTTTGAGTACATTTAAATAAGTGTACTTTTACTCAAGTAAACTATTAGAGAAAAATCAGTACTCTTACTTCGCTACATTTTGCGGCGTTCCTCCATTACTGTCAAATAATAATAAAAATGATCCATACATCCATATGAGGGAGACGTGCGAGTTATACTGCGATCACGTCATGGCCATCTGCGGTTCCGAGAAGGATGGTCATACTGTCTGTGTAGTGAGTTTATTGGACCAGGTCACCCGGCCTCAAGTTTAGTCTGTTTTTACTTCAAGATGTCAACAAGAATAGATTTATAATGGTATGCATGCTATACATTTAACTGATACCGCAGCATACATGAATTCCAGCTCCAACCTGAAAAAAGTAATGGTAAGTGTCAAAATTATCCCATTTTGAACCTTATTTATGGTAACTATGCAGGCCCATAGCCAGGGGGGTTCGGGTGATTGGAAAAACCCACCCCTCAATGACAAAGGTCCAGAATTGTGTCCCATGCATGAGCTCATTTGTCTTATTTTGGCCGCTATGCCATCATAAATAGTGAAATTAATCCAATTAAAAAAGGGTTTAAGACCAAGCAGAATCCTAAATTAAATTAAATTTTAAAACTAATTTGGCTATTTTTGTTATCCATAAATTTTCAATCAAATCAAATGTACTTTTTTACAAGAGAGGCTAGAAAAATTGTGAAGCTCCTTTATTATTATTATTTTAAATTTTTTATTAATCAAATTGCCAAATTCTGATTGAGGACAGTTAAATGTTCTAGTCAGTTTGTTGGCTAAAGCTACATTAGGCTACAATTTTTATTTTAAAACTTCAACAGAACATTTTCAGAAAAAGACCCTTTATAAAAGGCTGGCTACTGACCTGTTTTGAGATAACCAAGTAGCTGATTATTGGAATAACAGACTATTCAAGTACATATTAGTCATTCAGTTTCCCAGAGATGGGTTGCGGCTGGAAGGGCATCCTCTGCGTAAAAACGTGCTGAATAATTTGACGGTTCATTCTGCTGTGGCAAACTCAGATTAATAAAGGGACTAAGCCAAAAACATAAAATGAATGAATATTACTCATTTAGGCTGTTAATTATTAAAAAATATAACATTTAAACGTTATTTTTAACATAAAATCATAAAATGGTGTGTGTGTGTAATTGTCATTGAATGAATGAATGTATGCTTTGAAATTTATAACGATTTTAAGTAGAATTCTCTCAAGCAATTAAATTACTTATTGATTAAGTTTTAACTTTTAATTTACACATTTTTAATTATGTAATTATTCATTCTTTTTTGTAGTCACCTATCCAACACTGTACAGTATCAAGCTTATAATGGAGTTCCTACCAAATAATGAGCAAGAAATGTGAGCAAGCAAGAGCAAGCTTGTAATAAAATGTATGACACATATTTCAAACTATAGTTTTAGCCGCACACAATTGTGATGAATGCATAGAGCCAGAACTTAATTATGGGACTGACCTGTTCTTTTTTTGTCTTCTAGGTGTAAACTATCAGACGAGTGTGAAAGATCAGGCTTTAGTGTTTCACACACAAGTGAAGTCATCAGGATACAATACAGCTCCTCAGTAAGTCTGTAGATCACACATAGAAACGCATTTTAGCGTCAACAGTCAAACAAACCTCAAGTCTCAGGTTTACATCTGCATTGTTAACATGGTTTCAGGCTTTGAAAATTGTAGAAATTACCTGCCATTTCCACCAAAGTGTGTAATGACTGCTTTATATGTATTTATACAGTGCTACTCATGTCAAATGTAATATTTGGAAGAAAATTCATATAGATTGCTACGCTCATTCAGTTGAAAATTTTACACAGGCTCTGTTTTGGTAGCTTTAAAATGTGACTTAAAACCAATTACACTGATTGCACTCACGTGTAATATGTTCCATGCTGTAACTCTGGGGTTTAATCTGAGGTCACTAACATTATATTCATTTAAACACTGTTTAATTCTGTTTCCGTGCAACCAACAGGCCTGCTCAGACTCATGTTACTGAAAGGCTGTGTGACATAGACGTTTCTGCTTTAAAATGAGGTACACTGTAAAAAATAAATAAAATAAATTTAACAAAAATAAAAACAAAAGTACATAACATTAAAATAATTGTGAGAATTCTAATTATTATTATAAAACAAATAATTGTAATTAAAGTAAAAAAAGCAGCTGTGGTTGCTGCAAATGTACTATTAAATAACCGGTGGTTAAAATGTTTCTGTAAATTCGATCCAAGTTCATATGTTCAATTTATTTCATGTTTATTTACAAAGTAGATTGTGTCAAAGCAGCTTAACATAGAAGTTTTAGTAAATTGAAACTGTGTCAGTCCAGTTTTCAGTTGAAGTTTAGTTTATGTATTGCTTTTCCCAATAATTGTCATCAAGTTAAGGAGTTGTGTATTTGGACAGTATATAAACAAAGTTAACCTGCAGTTATACAATATATAGTGTCATTTGCAAATGCTGATGTCTATGTGTTTAATACATGTTCAATAAAGTGTGTTTGTATTGACTTCAAAGTCCTCATAGGGTTGGCAAATTAGCGTATTTCATGGATTTTTTTAGTCATACACCAATACTACAGTACTACATCTACACAACATTACACAGACAAAAACACAACTATAATCATGTGTGGATGAAAAGATCAGTGAATAAACCATGAAGCATACTAATATTGAAGTTGCTCAATAGTCACACAACTACTAAACACCGTCATGGTAACACATGAAATTAAAGTAATCCAATAAACATTATTTATCAACATTAGATCTAACATTTTCTAACATATTCTATTCATTCTAATGTGCAGAACTTATGAGAAAAAGTTGAAAAGAACCATACAGTAATACTGTCAACAAAAAAGCATGTAGGGAAATTATTGAAAAGTAAATTTACAGTTATTCATGTATACAGTATATTAAGGGAACTTAATCTTAACCAGGTTACAGGTTTTTAATGTAGCTATTTTACAGTTTTTTTGCTAGACATTTTTTTTTACAGTGAAGTTAATGTACAACCTTGGAGACGAATCTTTATGTTGTCTTTAAAACTTATATGGTCTGTCTTGGTAAAAATGCTCTCAACTCAAAGCATTGAGCCACCGTGGACCATGTTCAGTTTCTGGACCATGGTTTATTTATTATAAATTTCACTAAAGAAGCTGGTATCAGAGAAAAACCTCAGGCAAACACACATCACAACATTACAATGAGAAAATGGCGGTCGGTGTTGCTTGTGTGTTTCTAGCCCAAAATGTCCAACTCTCTCACATGCACAAAAAAACACCTAAAAACTACAAATGAGTAGGTACACTCAATTGGTTTAATATTTAACATAAAATGCACGTTCAAAACATTCAAACGTGTATATATACATATACAGTTGAAATCAGAATTATTAGCCCCCCTTTGATTTTTTTTTCTTTTTTAAAGATTTCCCAAATTATGTTTAAAAGAGCAAGGAAATTTTCACAGTATGTCTGATTAGATTTTTTTCTTCCGGAGAAAGTCCTATTTGTTTTATTTCGGCTAGAATAAAAGCAGTTTTAAATTTTTTTAAACCCATTTTAGGTCAATATTAATAGCCCATTTAAGCTCTTTTTCTACAGTAAACTGCCTAATTACCCTAATCTGCCAAGGTAACCTAACTAATCTAGTTAAGTCTTTAAATGTCACTTCAGGCTGCATATAAGTGTCTTGAAAAATATCTAGTAAAATATTATTTACTGTCATCATGGCAAAGAAAAAATAAATCAGTTATTAGAAATGAGTTATTAAAACTATTCTCTTTAGAATTGTGTTGGGGAAAAAATAAACAGGGTGACTGATAATTCGGACTTCAACTATATATGATTGCCAAAATGCATACAAATACAGTTTTAAATTGGATTTACTTGGCTAAATATTTATTTTAATTTGCACTTATTTGTATTATGTAAAGCTCAAATGTTTGAAAAGTTGTATTTGCTAATATATAAGAGTTCAGCTGACTCTTTTTTTTTTAAGTATAACAAGTTCAGTCAAGTAAAACCTTCATATATATATATAGTTATATAGTTATGTCAACACATTCAATCCAGATACGTTAACGTAACTCAAAATAATAAGTTGTCACGATGTAATAATTGGCACAATAATTTTTTACAGTGCAATATTCTCTTTTGGATATTTTAGGTATAATAGTATAACTATAACATATATCTCTTTTATAGTAGGACAATGTTTAGACCGAAGACCAACATAAAGAAGAAAAGCAGCTCCATCACAAAAACTAGCACAACTATGTAAGTATTCAGACAAATCTTTACTCAAGAGCTTTAAGAATTCAGTAGTACTCTTAAGTCCATTTTAAAATAAATAAATTGAGCTTTTTTTAACAGGAACGACCTATTAAGTGAGTATCCATCCCACTCTGAGGCACCAAGTGTGTCTTTTGCTCATTTGATGGTTTCTACAAGTCCAACCACAATGAACGCTCTGCAGTACTCAGGTTAGTATTGGTATGATCACATTAGGATTAGAATTTGTTTTGCTAGTATGGACAACCAGAAATAAGTAAACCAAATTAAACATGCATTAAAAATATAAATGTAAATACTGGGATCATATAGGAATCCAAAAAAATTATGTATTGGTACATACCTTGGTATTAAAGTTTTTTGAAGGATAAAAAAAAAAAAAAAATCTCCCGATATTATGATATTGAATTTCCTAAGATTGATGAGATATCAACAAAATAACATAACATAATGCTTCTTTTGATTAATGGCTGGGCAATATAATGTCTAGTGCTGATGATGTGTTGTTTTATTCACTGAAACAGCATATACTAAAAGGTAGATCTTGTAAAATAAGACCTAATATGGATTTTTTTAAATGAAGATATGTAAAACTAAAAGTTCTGTGGTTAAGACGGTATTTATTTTGTATGCATGCATTCCAAACCAAAAGTATAAATACTTTATCTCGTTCCTTTTTTATATAGTCATATATTTTATGTTTACCTAAAGTACAGCTCTTTAACACCCTAATATCCAGCTGTGATTTCATTAGTTTAACAAGACATAACATTGCTTATTTTCCAACTTTATGCACAATTAACAAAACCTAATAGCAGCGACTAACTATCCTTTGCCTGTTAATTATTTGGTTGTCCTTTAGTCTCACATAAAGATGCCGCATACTGCAGCACCAGCAGCATGTAGACTCCTGGAGTTAAACACAATAAAGTTGTATGCCTGTTTTTAAGAGTGCTGTAGTTGTTATTTTAGACCCTGGCCTCGGGATCGTCATTTTTAAAGTAATTATGCCTTCATTTTGTCTGGTAACTTTCTATTTTTGTGTCTAGGAGATGGAAAACAGATTGTGTGTGGTCTTGGAGATGGATCTGTTTTGTTGTATAACTCTTCACTCACCGGCAACCCAGATGTCTACACAGGTAGGGGGAGAGCTTCAAATCTGTACTGTTTATTTTACTCAAATTCCTGCTCTTATTTTCATTTCCTGAAAGAGTGGCACAAAGGAATGGGAATTAGACACATTTGCACATTCTGTACTTGACTTTGACTGCTAAAACTGACAGTTGAGTTGTAGAGATTTATCTGTTTATATATATGGGGTAATGCGTTACAAGTAATGCTAGTTACATAATAAAATTACTTTTCTAAGTAAGAGTGAAGTAACGCATTACTTTAAAAACATACGTAATAATATTTGAGTTACTTTCTTAAAAATGTAACTCGAGTTACTTTTTAGATTAATTGTTAATTAATATGCTTTTAAAAATAATTTTCTAAATTATGACTAGTGTAATCACGTTGAATCACACTCAATAAGAGAATGAGCTTCCCATGGGAATGGACAGAAACCAAGATGGCATAGCCTTACATTTCTGTGATGAAAGTATTCACATTACTTTAAACACAATAAAGAAAAGGGGATTGTCTCAATGCACAGTGATTTTACTGAACCAATAAGGCAAGAATACAAAAGTAGCCAACTCTTAAAGAGATCAAGCCTCAGACAGGTATGAAAAAGTAACTGAAAAGTAACGTAAAGTGCCGTAACACATTACTTTTTTGGGGAGTAAATCAATATTGTAATGCATTACATTGATCATAAACACACACACAGTTAAACACACACACACACACACACACACACACACACACTCACACACACACAAACTACCGATCAAAGGTTTGGATCAAATGTTTTAAAATAAGCTTATTCTTCTCACAAAGGCTGCATTTATTTAATTAAAAATACAGTACAATATGTAAAATTGTGAAATGTTATTGCACTATAAAATAACTGTTCAAAAGTGGTTTATAATTTAATTTAATAATTTATTAAAGTGATTTTAAAAAATAATTTTCAGCTTCATTACTCCTTCACAGTCTTCACAGTCACATGATCCTTTAGAAATCTTTCTAGTAATAATTATTATTATTATTAATATTATTACTATTATTATTAATGGTTATTGTAATAAAAGTAGTAATGACTGGAGTAATCATTTTATTTTTTAACTACATACAATCAGTATGTAAATATAAATATTTTATATTTGTATTTATATAATTAAATATTTGATAAATATTTAACATTTTTACATTTATGAACAGTATAATTTTATTTAAATTATTAAACAAATTTATAATAAAAATGTTCAATAAAATACATATATACGAGAGAGAGAGAGAGAGAGAGAGAGGGAGAGAGAGAGAGAGAGAGATTTTGAATTTACAATTTTTAATTATGTGTTTATGAGTAAAATATAATTTTGTATTTATTTAAAGTTGCCATTAAGAGCATTTTGTTTTTGTTTAAAATAAATTGTCTGGGTTAGGGTTTATATTCAGTTTTAGACAACACAATTTTTTTTTTTTACTTAAGAACAATTAACGCATGAATATTTATAGTAATAATAACCCTGATTTTTAACGACTTAAACATGCTAATCTCTTAAATTGTTTTTTGAAATTTGAAAGAAATTTTATTACACCTTTATAGTATTGACATTTTACTGAAACCCTTACATTAATAAAAGATCCAATAAAAGTGGTCTATGATCGTTTTATTTAATAAACCTAAAAAATTTTGTATGTCCAGTACGTCATTCACAATTTCACCTCATTTAATTCAATACCAGATATTCAGTCATCAAATAACTTTTTGTAACAAGACAGAATTTTTATTTTTTTTTAGATTTGACTTTTGTGTTCTCTATAATATCAGAGTTACTGTTTTATTTTTTTTTTTTTAAATCTGTGTATGGAATGACTGGCATTGTATAATATGTAACTTTCCAAAACTAGAGATCTCAGTCAGGATATGGCACAATATTTTGATTCTCAGCTGGCTCTGTTGTTTTTGGCAGGGCACAGTAAGGCTGTGAACACTGTATGCTGGAGTCACAGTAAGCGGTGGTTTTTGAGTACCTCCGAGGACCCCACCCTTTGCATATGGACCACAAGTGCTTCTGAACCTGTCTTGACCATGGTAACGCATCAACAATTCAACCAAATACAGTCCTTGCACTGATGTGAACAATTTAAAAAGTGATGTTAGTTCTGAGCTTTTGCAGTACTTGTAATTATCGTCAAATTCACCTCAGAGTGAAGCATGTGAAGAAAAGTTGTAAGATTCAAGAAATTAATTTGCATTTAAATGCATACTCCGGTGGGAAGTGTTTCTTTTGGCTTTCTTTCTCTCTTGGAACGTCAAAGGCATCTGTGCAGGCCCCCGGTCAGTACATCAGTGCTCTAAACACTTGCAGACGTCTCTAAACCGTAATTTCCCCCTTTCCCAGAACCCCCAACACAACTAAAGTTCATTCAAATCAGTTTTCTTCAGTCACATTCTGGCTGACAGTTTCTCTCTGGTGTCTTCCCACCCTGCCTTCTAGACCTGTGCATCTGTGTGTGTATTTGGAGCCAAATATGACCCAATGCATCAGTGTCTGTGTCATTTATATGAAAGAGAAAATCCTGAGTCTGCAATAATAAACACTGTTACTTTGTGTTGAAAGCAGAGCATAAATACGTTTTGGATATTTTAACCAGAAATGTGCTCAAGTATCTTCGTGAACGCAGACCAATATTTCCAGCACATTGCAGACAAAGGGTCAAGGTTTGGCCGGTAGCATAAAAAACAATTCAAAAGTAGCATAATCAAATCAGACAGTTTATAATCATTTCCAAAACAGCGGCCCGTGTGGTAGTGATTATAACAGAATACGTAGTCATGAACATTTTGAAATGCACATCAACTGAGTGCAGTAAGTGCACTATACCATCAGCAAGTTAATGAAAATGAATGACAGAATTCAGATGTTATTCAGTGTATGACCACTCAATCAATATCCTTCGACTTAGTCCCTGATTTATCAGGTGTCATCACAGCAGAATGAACCATCAATTACTTTGGCATATGTTTTATAATAACAATTTAAAAACACTTGATTCTTGATATATATATATAGTTGAAGTTAGAATTATTAACCCCCCTTAGAATCTTTTTTCTTTTTTAAATATTTTAACAAGGAAGTTTTCACTGTATGTCTGATAATATTTTTTCTTCTGGAGAAAGTCTTATTTGTTATATTTCAGCTAGAATAAAGCAGTTTTTAATTTTTAAAAAACATTTTAAGGACAAAAATGATTAGCCCCATTAATTTTTATTTTTTATTTTTTTATAGTTTTAATTGAGTACACTCAATTATTCATTTAGTAAATGAATATTTTTATCAATTTCTCAGTGAATGTAGGCAATGTATTTTGGTGCATTTTAGCAGAACAGATTTATTAAACATAAATATTTATTAAAATAATATTTTAGTCACCAACTATATTTAGAAATTGAAAGATAAAACATGTAAATTCAAGATAAATATTGCAAAGAAATGTTTTTTTTTTTTTTTTTTTTTTTTTGCTTTTCTTGATTTTTCCTTTTTTTAAATTAAATTTGTAATATATTTCTATATCATATAAATTTGGGTGTACTAGTTTTTGGACCGTTATCAAAAGTTATTTTGTTAGATAAGCTCCAGATGTGGCTTTACTGATTAATTTAATTCACACAAATATGCACAAATATAATGTTATAGAGCTTCCTATTAAAAATATGCTGAGCACTGTGTATAACTTTATATAACTTTGAGCTATAAAACTTTGTGCCCAATCAAACATGTGCATAACAATTATCCCATGTGGATCATGAATTTTACACATGAAAAAAAGAATGAGGAAACGATAGTGTTTGAGGCTCAAAATATTAAATTTCCATGTATTGAAATTAATGATCAACTATGCCTAGTTGAATGGTGCATTCGATGCACTATTAAGGCCCTCGCTCACATAGTAAGAATGGCCAACATGCACTATAAAGTGGAAAGAGGGTGGAAAGCTAATCCACTCCATACGTTTATATCTTCATATTCCTCTCACCAAATTGTCTCTCATTGACTTTCATTAGTCTCAAATTTTCCAGACAGAGAAATAACATTCCTGTGTTGCTCTATCCTCATTTATCTCTTCGCACTCCATCTTTGGTAAAACGAAAGAATAACTGAGATCTCGATATTTTCAGCTGATATGGTGCTGTATTTTATGCAGTGTGACATAAATACACTTAGCACTTATTTAAAGGCTATTAATACACTGCAAATGTTGATGTGACTTACCGACTGTCTGTTTATGCAGTGTTTGTTTAACTTTATGGTTATCCAGAGAGAAGACCAGTTTGCAAAGCCCATCAGAAGTGCTCAGTTTTATTATCTGGACAAGTTTTTACTGCTGGCGTCGGGATCAAATCTAATGCTGTACCTTTACCATCTGGACAACACAAAAGATGACATCAAGAGGTACAGGACACACAGATGTTAACAGACAGTGAGCAAGTAACAATAAACACAGGTGACCTTATGATTGAAGATCTGGTTCGGTTCAAGAGCTGGTAAAAATTAGGAGTATGCCAGGCTATCAGATTTTCCAGAATCCTAGTCAGCACTGTTTTATGTAACAACCACATAGTTCAGGAGCATTGAATTTCTGTATTTATTTTGGTCATGGTGAAATACAGTATGGATGTGTGTGTTTGAGGGGTAAGTGCTCATCAGTGGAGAATCTGTGGGTTATTTCTAAAAAAAAAATGGAAAAGAAACCTAGTCTTTCTGTGTTTATATGTTGGGGAATTCCTGGAAGAGATGTGCTTTAGGAGACATGAGCCAGATATTGCACATCATTTTCTATTTAGGATGGTAAATCCTATATCCCTCTTATAGAGAATAATTATGTGAACAAGATCTTTTTCATCATTATGGAAGGTGGTGGAAAATCTTTACACACAGAAAAACAGTCTGATTTCTTCCAGTATTCAGTGTCATGTGATCTTGCAGAATTCATTCTAATAAGCCAATTAGGAGTTTACAAAACTTTTCTTATTGTTAAAAAACACCACTCATTCACCCACTCATACACAATCCACTTATAGCGCATGTCTTTAGACTGTGGGAGAAACCAGAGCACCCGGAGGCAACCCACACGCACTCAGGGAGAACATGCAAACTCTACACAGAAAAGTCAACTGGGACAGTGCTAACCACTGAACCACCGTGCTACCTCCATATTTGATCAACTTAATGGAAAATTGTTAAATATAAGAATTCATATTACACTGTAAAAAAAAAAACTTAATTAACTTAAACTTAGTTAACTTGATTGTTTTTACAAATATAAGTGGATTGAACATAAAACAATTAAGTTGTCCCAAAAAAACTTCAGGAATTGTGTTGATTCAGCTCTTTTAAAATAATTAGTTTGAACAATTTTGTGTGTGTGCGTGCGTGCATGCGTGCGTGTATTTAAAAATGGACTGAGCCCATATTTGATTAAATCAATTTTTTTTACAGTATATGTCCACGCTGTTTCAATTGTAATGCTTTGTTATTATTTACATACAGAGTTCTGATATTATTTCAAATCTTTGTTTGACTTTGTTTGTATTTTATTTTTCTTGTAAATAACAGATATAAGCAAAGAAGCAAGTTCAAATTGACTGGTAAATTCAGCATGAAGTCAGGAACAGACATCACCTCAATATCAGCGGTCAATGACTTCTATTCCTGTATCCTACAAATAACCTGATTGGGCTTTTTGCAGTTTAGCGACCGCCTACTGAAGCTATTGAAGGAAGTCATATTCCTGAAGGATGCTGCTTACTATTTATTTTTCCAATTTTAACTCATTGACTTATTCTGAATAATTTGAACTCAGATTATTTTGATTACCTACAGAATAACATACAACTGCTTGTATACATTAACAGGTGTATACTAATTGAATTTTAAATATTTAAGGGTGTATTAAGTAATTTTTTGGTTTAAAATAAATGATTACACCGAAAATTAATCTTCCATTTGTACTGTTGTCTTATCTTGAAACTTTCATTCATTTATTTTCCATCAGCTTAGTCATTCAGAGGTAATTTCAGAGGTCACCACAGTGGAATGAACCGCCAACTATTTCAGCATATGTTTTAGGCAGCAGATGCCCTTCCAGCTGCAACCCAGTACTGGAAAACACCCATACACTTTCGCATTCACTCACACACTCATATACTACGGCCAATTTAGTTTATTCAGTTCACTTATAGCACATGTCTTTGGAGGAAACCAGGGCACCCTAAGGAAACCCACACAAACACGGGGAGAACATGCATCCCAGCCAACGGGACTCAAACCAGCGACCTTCTTGCTGTGAGGCAACAGTGCTAACCATTGAGCCACCATGCTGCCTCTATCTTGAACACTTCAGGGAAAATATAATAAGCTGATATTCAGACTGTTTTCTATCTGTCATATACAAAAACTAAAAGTAACAGCTCCAGCTACAATGTTCACCCACAAGAAGTTATTTATTCATTTATTACAGCGCCAAAAGTTACATACTGTCCCTTAAGCATAACATTTTACATCTAAAGGTTTTTTTAAGTTGTTGAGAAACATAAATTCAGTCAAGGGTGAGGAAGCTGGAAATTGTACAGATATTAGTAATTTACACTATGTCTTCATCCCTTTTAATGTTTTCAATTTAATTTATTAAGCAGTAAATGTTCTGAACCTTGCAGTTTGTTGAACTCATTTAGTTCAGCCTACCATTACATAAGATAATGTGGTGGGTCTAATTTGGAAACATGTGCAGTGGAAAAAATCTGTTTAATGATAAAAATTTTCCTGTGTAAATTTGACATCGTTTTTCTGCTTTTAATTATAAAATACAGAGTATAATATATAATGTGTAGGGTAATCTCATGCCTTTTTGGTAGTGCTATAAAAGTCATGAACTGTTCTGTTATATAACAATGTCGGATTTCATTCAAGGTGACAAGATTCAATCTGTAAGTGTGAGTTCAGTGTATCTCTTTAACCCCAGTGTGTCAGATATTGTCTTGGCTGCTGGCGCTGACCGCACCATCCAGGTTTTTGATATGAACCGTGGGAGTTTAGTCACACAGATTCCAGATGCCCACTGTCGAGCTGTCCACCACCTCGCCCAGAATCAGGTAGGAGTTATTAGCCCTGCTGAATTATAAGCCTTCCTGTATATTCTTTTCCCAATTTCTGTTTAACTTAAAGATCTTTCAACAAATTTAGTTCTGTTGACAATCTAATAAAATATTTCTTAAGGGGGCTAATAATATATTTTTATTAAATTAAAACTGCTTTTATTCTACCCAAAACAAAACAAATAAGATTTTCTTCAGAAGAAAATATATAGGAAATACTGTGAAAATTTCCTTGCTCTGTTGAACATAATTTGGGAATTATTTACAAAAGGAGGAAAATATTCACAGGAGGGTAAATCAATTTGACTTCAACTGCATGTTTTCTTCAATGCAATCAGAAATGATTATCCCACTTGAATTAAAAACCCACATTTTTCAGCATACAAGCAGGCAGCAAAGCAAATAAATGAAAAAGATGTGGATGGCAACTATAATTGTGGTCATAAGCCACGTGTTGTTGTTTTTCTTTGATTGTTTCTTTTTTGTGGCTGCTTGAACAGATGTCAGCAAGAATTGTTTTGTGTTTAAATAAAGTCTAATAGACATCTTATAGACATCTAAACATGGGTGTCTTGTCTAAAACAAATCAAAATTTGGGCCTACGGTGAAATTATAATATATTTTTGGGTTATTGTTTATTATTACTGACAACCTAAATTGTACCTTGTTTTAGCCAAGGCGACTATGTTTAGACATCTGTTAGACATCTTTTAAACACCAAATTGATTGGTGGGATTTGACTTTATGTATTTATACACCATGAGACAAACTTAAAACATACTTTTACTATATACAATTTAATTTAAACTTAAAGACTATTGATTTTTGTTTTTTACTTTTTTAATTTTTCCATGCATTAAATATGAAAAATGGGCACTCAAATGTGGGTGCTTGAAATGCAAAAACCAATGATGTTTGTTTTCACACTGCGTAGCTTCAGCTCATAATTTTTATTAGAGAAATATCTCGCTTCAGAGCTTGATCCTAAAATCAGAGGAAGCACTCTGAAGTACCAAAATCGCATTGAACCCTACTTATATAATTATATGTTTTAGCTTTTTGATTTTATTTGCACTCACATATAAGTGGTTTGCTTTCATAACAGTGAACTTAGTTAATCTATAAAAAAGTGTTTAATCGAACATTGTTTGTTAAATTAATTGTTAATCAGGTTTGGTGATATCCTTATTTTTTGTTAAGTTGGGTGTGTTTTTGCCAAGTACCCAGCAGACAAAGGGCTGGCTCTAACGCTCTGGTGCTGTTCACCGATGAGTGACAATGAGAATGGGCAGCGGTGATCACAGCACATGATAGACGCAGTGGAGAAAACTCACTCTGCAGACATCCACTCGTGTCTGTATCCACAAGTATTGCTGTAACAGCCGAGAGGAGAGGAAAAGTCACGCTACCAGGTCAAATGGGCCATAGAGAGAGAGAGAAATGGAGTTTACTTTCATTTTCCCAATCGCAGTAAAACAGAGGGTTCGGCTGTAAGTGTCAGTGAAAGACTGTCCAGCAAACGCAATGAAATTGTGCACAGTTTCTTAGTTTTTAAGTAGCTCGCCTCCCTCTCCATAGTAAGCTACGTCAACATATTGCATATAAGATAAATAACGTCCATACATAATAGCCGGTTATGATTATTACTGAACCGATACCAAATTGTCCACATCTGCATCGCGGTGCACCGAATAAACAATTAATTTTGACACCCCTAATGTTTGAGTGTTTTTAAAATTCTGTAAAATGCTTGCTTACACAAAAAACGTAGACATGTTTTTGCTATTTTGGTGAAAACATATTTTTCTCATAGCAAGGTTTCCTTTTGCATGAAATTGCTCACTTTTATTTGTGAATAAGAATAATCTGTGATAAAAATCATTAGGCAGCACATTGTGCATCAAATCAGCACATTAGATTGATTCTTAAGGGGCATGTAGCTTTGAAGACTTGTGTAATGAGTGCTAATACAGAAATAAATAGCTTTTAAAAAAACATCCCATTGAAGGCATTTTATTTTATTTCAATATTTCTTAATATTACTTTTTACTATGTTTTTGAATGATAGTATTCTCAACCAGGCTTTCACTCCACCCTCCAAAACTTGTTTTGTTGCGAATGTCTCGACTCTTTTAAAAACAATACAATGACGTTCATGCTCCAGAGAGACCGCTTCGAATTTTCTGACCTCAGTGGTTTGTAACAAGCTGCACACAACTCCATACTGCTGCTGACCCTTGGATTACAACACTAAAATTGGAATTACAAACCGCTTAAGTTGTTTGTGGGTTGTTTATATTTTTTTTATTGTGAGGCTGGACTGCGCTCTGGGTTCCCTGTAAATCCAAAGTAAGACGCTTTGCTTTTGACTCACTTTGCTCTTTGGTTAACCTCATACCCATGGCAACCATGATGAAGTCACTTTCAGAAACAATGCTAAGGAAATACTGACTGATCCAGCATCTTAAATATAATTATAGTTAATAGCGCTGATTGCATGAGTTTTGTTTGCTGGGAAATCACTGTTTTAAGGGGAAACAGGGCCCATAGAGTTGCATTTTTTTAATACTGCTGTCTTCACCCATATATTAGTTTATTCAGGCTTCTTTGAACAGGAGCTTAATGAAGTCAGGAAGAAGTAGATGATTCTGAGTATCCAAGATTAACCTCAACTTTGTTGTGTGACACATACTTGAAGGGAGTGAAAGCAAATGAACGGATTCAGCTTGTGTTAACAAATCCAGTTTCCAAATCAATTTTTCTCTGCAGTTTGGCTCTCCCACCCTCCCATTATATAAGGTCTCTCTCTCAACATTATGCAAGATCTGATGTATTTTTTTGAAGGATAAAAGTTCACCGCTTTATTCGGGATAATCCAAACCACAGTTGTGTGAGGTTTTCCAAGGTGGGCCTAAGTTGTAGGTCTCGTGTGCCCCATTTATCTCTTTGAGTATCTTGATCTAAATCCCCCAGGTTTGCAGATTAGGTACGGAAACGTGAAATAAGTTAAGGGAGGATCTGATTTAAGCTGAGGATGTTGGGTAAGCACATTCCAACCATGAACCTGGATGAGCATCTGTTCAATTTTGTTGGACCAAAGTGTATTCTATTGCTGCACTGTAAAAAATCCTTGTAAATTGAAAGTTTTTCCGTATTTTGTGATTCATTGTTTTTTTTTTTTGTTTTTTTTTTCTCTCTCTTTTCCGATTATTTAGACTTTTGAATTGCACCATTGGACCTTGGTCTTTCTTTCAACAACTTTTAGTCTTGAAAAGTTTGAAAAAGTGACTTTTATGAACAATTTTAATAGTTTAAAGTGATATATTGTCTTGGTTGGTGTCTTTATGCTGTTATTATTCTGCAAACACTTGGTAATAAGATGCCCATACATTTTATGTTATTTTACAAACTTAGTTTTTTATATATTGTTTCTTAAACAATATCTTGTCTCAAACTACTTAAATGTCAATAAAAGTTACTTTGTAAAACTGTAGAGTTGAATTTTTAACAACAAAACTCAACAGAGTAGAGATCATAATGCAATTCACAACTATAAATAAATGGAAAACACAAAATACAAAAACAGATATTTTACAGTGTGCAAACCAGCTGCCTGAAAATGTGTATTTTAGTCCGCACAATAATAAAAAAATCTGCCATTATTTACTCACAATGGTGTTGTTGTTTAAATGCTTTATACTTTTTGTTTCCCTTTTCAAGAGTTCAGAAGGTCATAATTTGCACTCATTAAATATTTACATTATATTATTTTACAATCTTAAGAGATACAAAACACAGACGTGTCGGCACAATGCCTCAGTGCATGACACAATCCTCTCCAATTATAGTCCAATTATAATATTGTGAATCATGGATTTTGAGTATATAGTGCTGTATATATACATGGATTTTGAGTATATGTGCTGTATAAATAGTCCTAGTAATTGGTCATTGAGCAGCTCCCAGGTGTGTGTGTGTGTGTGTGTGTGTGTTTGTGGTGTGTGTGTGTGTGTGTGTAATCAGTGGAACACCGGAACAGGTGTGTGTGCGAAGTGCATGACGGGATATGTAGTTTGTTATGTGATGACAGAGTTGTAGTTCATGTAAAGGTGCGTGCTTACCAACAATCTGCAGGCACTAGATCGCTGGTGATCATAACATTTAAAAAGTTTTCAAACATTTGGTCATTATTTGATGATATGTACTGAATACTGCTGAAGTAGTTGCTAGAAAAGGTGTTCTTTTTATATTGATTTCTTTGTTGTGTATCAAAAGAGTCAAGCATACTTCTGCACTTATTTTTTTACTTTTCAAATTGTTATCCTATTTATTGTATGACGTGTGAGAAGTGTTTCACATCTTCACTGGCCCAGTTTTCTCCCCAGTTTGACAGGGTTAGCTGAGATTAGTTGTGTATACAGGTGGACAGTGAACTGGATTAACTGATCCAGTGCAGTATAATGCGTTAGCCACTTTCCCACATTCCCTGAGCGGCCACTTTCCACACCAGCACACCAAACTCCAGTCACGCTACCCATTGTTTGCCGTACGTGTTAGTCTGACCTCCTCAAAAAAACACAACCTTGCTCTTACGTGTATGTGGGATCCTCCATCAAGAAGCCCACGCATTAGAGACGCCTAGAGGAATCAAGAGAGCTGATCACTGGGAATTTCTGCCAGCTGAGAATGAGGTACAACAAACCCGGTTACTTTACATTCTCCTCCATGGGCTACACGTTCCAGTTGCTGAAGCCACAATCATAGACAATATTTCTGATGAATGTCTTAATTGTGTGCGAGTAACCATGCAGAACACTTTAAACCATCTGTATTTGTTTTAGGGCGAGAAAGAAAGGGTTTCACCATTCTTCCACAATGTATGACAAACATTTCCATTCTGTGGACGTTTCTGGCTTTTTTTTGGATGAACTGCAGTTCTGGAAAATCTGCACACTTTCAGCTCACACGTGCAGCTTGTTTGCAATCCTCGGCCAAATTTGTGTCTCTTTTCTATGACCGGTCAACAGCTACATTAACTAAATTTGAGGATTAGGGATGTTGCATCATTTATTTATTTAGTATGAAAGTGTTATGTGAATAAGATGCTTAAGACTAAATATAAGATGGATGCTTATTTTTCTTGCAGTTAACTTCAGAAATATATTTTAAACTATATTATGAATGTATCAACTAAGGGATAATGTCCATCCAGTTGGTTGGTCTGACATGCTTATCAACAGCCCAACATTATATTCTGAGGAAACAGCTGGCTAGATGTTCATTATCACACTTATTACATTGTAGTACACAATTAGATACAAACATTGATCAGAGCTGTAATCACTTTTTTAGATAGATATTTTTTAGATAGATAGATATTTAAGATAGAACTTGTGTTTAGGCCTTAATATTTAGACAAATGGTACATATACGGTGGGGCTGGGGAGGGTGGTTCAACTCATATTTATTCATTGGGTAAATAATTAACCATTGGGTTAATTTTTCATTTGTTTCAAATTAATTTCCATTTTTGCCCTTAAGTTTTGGGGTTGTCCATTTATTAGAGCCAAATATGAGTTCTAGAAAAGCTCTGCATTTTATTTTTTGACAAAAACTGTACAATGGCATTTGCTGTTTAGCCAAACTTATGCTCTTGTGGTCTGTGTTTTATGATAGTATGAGCTAAATTTTATTAAATTCTATTCTATTTATTAAATTCTCTTTATATTTGCGTTGCGCTCCATCAAATGAGGCATTAATACTACAACTTTAACAATGCCATATCTATTACAGTGCCTTTGAGCCTCTCTTTCCATTGATGAAGTAAAACAAAGGAAAAAATCTAATGTATGTTTATCTAAACATTAGGCTATTTAGAAGCTTTAATATAAAACATGACTTTTAAGGGCTCAATTAAGTAGTTGCAAAGTCTAAATCGCATGTTGCAGTAGCATTAAGGGTGTTTCCTTATCCACTTTTGCTATTTTAAGGGTGGAAAATATGGTTTGCGCCCTGGTGCATGGTCTAACAGTGTTGTGCTTATTTTTTTAATGAGTAATGGGTGTGTTTTGAGCATAACATGCATTAAACCAATCACAGTCTCATCTTCCATTCTATTTAAGAGTCATTTGCCTCCCACCATGGCGCACTCACTATTTACTATTTACATGATGGACTTTGTAAGTGAAAAAAGTTAGCGCTTCATTAGCAAGAAAACAGTTAAACAGACCACCAGTAACGCAAAGTTAAAGAACAAGCCTCCTCCATTGTACCTTTTTACTTTCTCTTTTACTCTTTACTCCTTTACTTTTGTGGATAAGGTGTTGTACGCACCCCACTGAAGACATTCATTAGCCTACATATTTAATTTCTATCAAAGATTTGTTTCAAAATTGTTTAAATTCAGTTCTAATTTCCAGCAAACGAATAAATGAACAATAACAAAGAATTATATCCAAACACTCTATTCTTATGCCCCATAAAGTGACGCATACGTCTCTAAAACATGACAGGTGGAAAATCTAAACTTGTTTTTGTTAAAACAAATTAAAACATGCATATAATAAATACTGCTTATAATAATAATAACATTATACAAACGCAAATTTTCCTGAATTAACTAAAAAAGGCATGGAGGCATGAAGTAGGGGATGGTGGCAGTGGTTTTTATATTTATGTAAAAAAGAAAAAATTTTGTAACATTTTATTCCTTTAATTGTTTTTATATGTAAAGATATTTGTGTTTTGCTGCACATACTGTGTGTATTCAGCATTTGGGCCTGCATAGGTGCATAACTAATGCACTCTGCGCAGTGTGCCAACAATGCGCCTTAACACACCTCTATTTCAGACCAGCACACCCATGAGTCCACAAAGTTTCACAAATGCATTTGCTATTTGGTGCAAAATGTGAAAATTTCAGTTACATGGTTTGAAAATAGTAACAAATTATGCCATGCTCATTTTGCGCCTTATTGCGCCGGGTGTATGATAGGGCCCTTAGTATCTTTTGAGAAGGGGTTGATGTCACTTTGAATTCAATGTATTGTGCTAGTTTTTTCTACTGTGAATATATTCTGTTTTATTTTTATTGCAGGGATCTTCATTCTGTACACAAGCTGTGCAAGCATACAATCTCTTCCTGAGCAGTGCTTTAACGGATGGTCTGAAACTTTGGGACCTGCGTACTGCAAGGTAAGCTGCCACTTCAAACCTTTGCACCTCACCCCATTTACCCAATCTAAATTAATTCTTTTGTGTCTACAATACATGTTACTGCTTATTGAGCTGTTAATTCATTAAACAACCATTTAAAGTTGACTATGGAAAGATTGACCTCTACATCAATGGCATGTTTTCATGGCCTCACATCACTAAAGCACTGATAACTTGTTCTTCAGTGCAGTGAATAATGGTAAAATCCCAGGATGTTTATAGGTGATATACTACCCTTACATAATGCCCTTAATATTGTTAAGAACAAGCAGGATTATAGCCAGTCAGAAAAATACATCTATCATTTAAACGAAGAATCTAAAGTTTCCAGATTGTCCAAAAGCTCAGGCTGCCCGAATCTCAGCCAAGAGGAGTTTGGAAAGAATTCTCTCTGTTGACCTAAGTGTAACCGCTCTGATTTAGGTGGACGCTGTGTAGATTTAGCAATGCTGTTTCTTTCAGTCTTTTGCTAATCTGTTGAAGACCAAGTAAAATATATAGATAAACAGACACAAATACCAAAGGAATCTGAAAAATAAATCTGCCAATAAATTCTAAATTAAATCTTAATTCAATTAGTTCTAGTTCCAAATCAATTAATTTCTTGCATAACACAAGGTGTTTCCTTATCCGTCTTTCTGAGTCTGGAACTTTCAGCACAGCTTTCTGTAAATGTTGGTAATCGGACGACAGATTGGTTCCAAATGCTTTCTTCAACTTGATGTGTCAACAATTCAACCAAATGTTAATTTGTCATATTTATGCACCCTGATAGTGTATTATATGTATAGTGTTACATGCCTGGGGGTGTTGCTCTGTTGTTCCCTCCTCCCCTCTCTGTTTCTATTTGCTGTCTCCTATACTTCTAAAATCTAGGTGTTCCGATTGGTTGGCAGAGTTCTCCCGAGTGGACCAATCAGAAGAGGATGGGTGTTATTTAAACGCTCCAGTGATGACTCAGCCCAGATGAGAGGGGGATCCATGTTGCTTGTTGCTGCTGTGTTTTTGTAACTTTTGGTACCTATCTTGTGCTCGGGTTCGCTTTAAAGAGTTTTTGTGATTTAAAAATACCAAGAGGGAAGTGAAGGGAAGTATGTCACGTGACTTACATTTTACACACACGTAGTAGATTTTTTTGTTATTCCACTAGGTAAGAGGCGGGTGCTACCATATGTATGTTTGTTACAGTCAGTGCAGTTGAGTAAGGGGCGTGTGACGCTGAAGATGTTTTTTTTCTTATTTACATATTTCTCTTTAGTTATTTAGAGTTGGGGGAGGGATTAGTTAGCGGGTGTTTAATTTGTTATTTTCTTTGATTTGGCACCGCTTATTTTCCTTCCCTCCATCAGGTATTTTTGTTTACTTTTTGCATTTGCATTTTGTTTTATTGTACATATTTGTAAATATACTTTGGGTGATTTAAATATTCACTTCTTTATCTTTATTGTAATAAAGCGAACCAGTTTTTTTTGCAACGTCGTTGTCTGTGTTGATTCATAGCAGTTAACATCTCAGAGGAATTCTTAAAATATTGGGTTGTCATAATTATGTTAAGCCCTTTTTCATCCTCCGAGCCACACGGGGCGTAACATAATTTGGGGGCTCGTCCGGGAGCCTTCCTTTTGTGTAGAGGAAGCCCGGATACTTTTGATAGCCTGTATTGTTCCCTGGGAGTAGCTGCTGTGACCCAACACAAACTTTGTAGAAATATTGATGATAGGTGAGTGTTACAAGTTTGATATTCCTGTGTAGTTGGTTGTTAACGTTAAGCTCACGATGTCTTCATTGGTGCTTCAGTTTATTGAGAATCCATCATTGGATCTCATCGATAAATTTCGTAAAGACGATTTGTTACTATTAGCTGATCACTTCCAAGTCTCTGTTAATCGGCAATTGTTAAAACGTGAGATTAAAGCTGCTGTTTTGAATGGATTGGCAGAACAAAATATTTTCAGTGTGCCTGAAGCGGTTAGAGAAGCAGATCAAATTAGTGAACATAATTTAGACGAAGGCGCTGATTCAACCAGTGTGGTGGATGGGCATGTTGACGTGGATGTGGAGGCAAAAGCTAAAACAGGTCTTCCCCCCTTTGAAGCATTTTCTCCGGTGTCACCGGGTGCTAAAGTGGATGCGCAGTTGAAGCTTCGTCTTGCTCGGCTTCGCATTGAAGCGGAGGAAAGAGCTCAAGTCCGACGTGCTGAATTTGATCTGCGGCTCGAAATCCGACGGCTCGAAATTCAGTCTGAGAAAGAGGTACAGATGAAACGATTAGAGTTAGAGGAAAGGAAGCTTTCATCTGTCTCTACTGGCCTGCCTGCTTCTGACTCGACTGGTAAACCAACAGCACCATGTGTTTCGACTAACTCTACGTTTGATGTAAGTAAAAACATTTCATTAGTGCCATTATTTAGAGAAATGGAAGTGGACAGTTATTTTTGTGTGTTTGAGAGAATTGCTGCTTCGTTGAGCTGGCCAAAAGAAGTGTGGACATTGCTGTTGCAATGCAGATTAGTTGGGAAAGCTATGGAAGTGTTTTCCACACTGTCTTTGGAAGACAGTTTGAAATATGAGACCGTGAAGGCATCTATTTTGCGTGCATATGAGTTAGTGCCTGAAGCTTACCGGCAGAAATTTAGAAACCACAGGAAGAGCAGTAATCAGACTTATGTGGAATTTGCACGGGAAAAGGGAGTGTTATTTGATAAGTGGTGTGCTTCAAGTCAGGCAGAGGATTTTTCTACGTTGCGTGAGTTAATGCTCCTTGAAGATTTTAAGAAATGTGTGCCAGAGCGAACTGTGTTGTATTTGAATGAGCAGAAAGTTACAACTTTGGCCTCTGCTGCTGTGTTAGCAGATGAGTTTGCTCTGACACACAAAGGGGTGTTCAGTTCTGCTCATGGGGATAAAAGTAGTTCTGCTGTTTCTTTACGGCCTGCACCTCAGTTAAAACCAAAAGTAGAGCAGCCCAGAGAAAAGCGCGAATGCTTTTATTGCCGAAAAATTGGTCATTTAATTGCCGATTGTGGCCTGTTGAAAAAGAAACAACTAAATTCTAACAGTCCACAGCCTATTGGGTTGATTAAAACAATGCCAATTGCTGTTGACTCTGCTTATGAGCCATTCTTATCTGATGGGTTTGTATCTTTCAGTGACCAACCAGGTGATCGAGTTGGAGTCCACGTGTTGAGGGACACGGGAGCAGCCCGCTCATTTATACGTGGGGATGTATTATCATTCTCTGATGACTCCTACACTGGTTCCAGTATTTTAGTGCAAGGTATCAGTATGGAAGTTGTGAAGGTGCCATTACATCGAGTGTATTTACAAACTGATTTGATCACTGGATTTGTTGATGTAGGTGTGCGACCTGCTTTGCCTGTGCCTGGTGTTGATGTGATTTTAGGTAACGATCTGGCTGGTGGTAACGTGATACCGGTGTTGGAAGTATTGGACAGGCCTGTTATAACTTCTGTTTCAGAACAGTTCACTCAGGAGTATCCTGAAGCATTTCCGGCGTGTGTTTTAACTCGTGCTCAAACGAGGAAGATGGGGACAGACTTTACACTTGATGATACATTTATGTGCACAGATGACAACATTATCAATGCAGCAAACCACCGTAGTGAGGAAACAGGAACTGGAAAGGTTAGTAATTTACCTCTACCAACATTACCCATTACCCGTGATAAGCTAATTGAAGCCCAGCAGCGTGATGCCACTTTAGAAAAGTGTTTTGAGGCAGTGAATAATAGGAAAGGAAGTACACTGTATTTTCTGGAGGATAGTTTATTGATGCGTAAGTGGAAGCCAAGGGGTTCAGATAGTGAAGAATGTGCTGCTGTTTGTCAAATAGTAGTTCCTGTTGAGTATCGTGCATCTATTCTTTCCCTGGCCCATGATCATGCCATGTCTGGACACTTAGGTGTTACAAAAACCTATAACCGTGTTCTACATAATTTCTTCTGGCCTGGTCTAAAACGAGAGGTAGCTGCTTATTGCCGTACATGTTCTGTCTGTCAAGTCATGGGGAAACCTAATCAGGTAATCCCTCCTGCGCCATTAGTTCCCATTCCTGCTATTGGTGAACCTTTTGAACACGTCATTGTGGACTGTGTTGGGCCACTTCCAAAAACAAAATCTGGCAATGAGTTTTTGCTCACGGTAATGTGTGTAGCTACTCGCTACCCTGAAGCAATACCGCTGAGGAAAATAACATCTAAGGCAGTGGTTAAGGCTTTGGTCAAGTTTTTTTCCACCTTTGGTTTGCCTAAAATTATACAAACTGACCAAGGAACTAACTTTATGTCTAAGTTGTTTACGCAAACGTTTAGTTCCTTAGGTATTCAACATCGTGTTTCTAGCCCGTACCATCCTGAGAGTCAAGGTGTGCTAGAAAGATTTCATCAGACACTTAAATGTATGCTGAAGAAATACTGTTGGGATACAGGAAATGAGTGGGACGAGGGAGTACCCTTTGTTTTGTTTGCTATTCGGGAGATTCCACAAGAGTCTCTACGATTTAGTCCCGCTGAATTGGTCTTTGGTCATAGTGTTCGAGGCCCATTGAAGGTTCTAAAAGAACAAATGCTTGGGCTGAACAATCACCTGAGTTCAAAGGAGAATGTTCTTGATTATGTGGCCCGTTTTCGTGAGCGTGTGCAGGAAGCTTGTGCTCAAGCTAAAGATGCTCTTTCAAAAGCTCAAGTACGAATGAAGCATCACTTTGATAAGGCATCTGTCTCACGATCCTTTTCTGTAGGGGATAATGTTCTTGTCTTGTTACCAATTCCAGGGTCTGCATTGTCTGCACGTTTTGCTGGTCCGTATGAAGTGCTGGGTAAGAGAGGTGAGACTGATTACATCATTAAGACACCAGATCGGAAAAGACAAAAACGCATTTGCCACATTAACATGCTTAAAGCCTATCATTCTAGGAAGGAAGCGCCATCTCCCTGTTCAAAAGTGAACACAGAGCCTGC